TGCAAATGCATCGCGTGCGCAAATGCATACCGCTGTGGCCGCGGATGCGAGGTGGATTCAGGCGCAGTGGACCACGTACGTAGGGGATCCGAGGAATCAATTGGTGGGATAGGGAAGGATGCGTCCATGAGATTGGGCGAGATGAACTTTGATTGTGTGACCAAACCAATCATGCCACTAGGATTGTACTGGCTCTACTGTTTAGTTTTGGAGGTTTCTTTTTTTCGAAGTGTTCGTACCGCTTTACTTTAAAGTTAACAATACTCTTTCCGTTTCAAAATAAATATACCCAGTATTATACTAAATGGTCAAATAGGCCGTTTGACCCGGCACGATCCGGGCACAATTGGGTCCAGGCCCAAGATCAGTCAGCCCGGTACGGTTCAACCTACACACTAGGTCGGGCTGTGCCCACTCACTTGATGCACCAACGGCCCAATAAGATTTGCGTCATGCCGGACCAGCCTGAAGGTACGAAAGCCCACCGTGCTCCTTATTGGGAGAGTCTATTTTTTTCTCCCTCATCTCTTTGGGCCATCTCTAGTATGGTTGAATAAGTTTATTTTGTATCCCTCATCTTTTTGGGCCGAGCCATCAGGCCCCGGACATTTTGGCCTAGGTATAGTATATGATATATTCTACTACGAATCTAGGCATCATGCTGTGCTAGGTAAGGGGTACATGATTTTCCAGTACGTTGTTGCGGGGTATTAGTTTGATATGGGTGAACGATTTGGCTGGAAAGATACATTGTGATTGTGCATATAAAGTTGTAGGATGTAGTTTTTTTAAAAAATCTTCCATCAACTTTGAAAAAAAGCATTCTTTAATATTAGAGATTTTACAGTGTGAAAACCATATTGTTGAGGTGCACTTAATAGTGTAGTGGTAATGGATGTGTGGTTTCAACCTTAAGATAATGTGTTCAATTCTTCACACGCTGGTTTTACGTATTGTAAAAAGAGAAAATTCAAGAAATGCCATTAACAAATATCCAATTATAAGAAATGTCATCAACAAGTGTGAGTTCTATCGTCGTTAGGGTTCTGTTAGCAGCTCTCCATTAAGTGCTATAGGATGAACAATTCAATTAACGGCGAGTGATGTACGGAACCGTAACAGCGATGGTATTTATAAAACAAAGTCACTTGTGCAAAGACATTTCATAAAACTCACACTTATCAATAACATTTCTTATAATTGGACGCTTGTCAATGTCATTTTTTTGATTTTTCTCTTGTAAAAACCATAGTTGAACGCCAAGTTAACTAGTCTACTTTTTAATAAATTATTGATGTATTTTTCTTACAGTCATCATCCTTTTTACCATAAAAAACGGTTCTCTCTCCTTGGAAACAAATGCTCAAAAAAACCTAACAACCTAACCCTGCTTAAAAGATCGACAAAAAAAGATCCATGTCATTAGAAATAAGCCATGTACAGAAAAGATCCACGAACACCTGCAAAGTCTAGGAGGTAGTTTGTCAGTGTCAAGAATAAAACATACCTCCTACACAGATTCATGGAATATGCCAATACCGTATACCCGATTATATACAAGAACGTATCCTTTAATTAAGGAAATATGGCGGATGAAGAAGTAAATTATCTTCTCGGGACATAAGTGTTAGAGCCCTCTTTAGGTAAGATAAGATCTCCTTGGACCCGTATCTTGTTTTTATCTCTCTGAGTTCTAGGGTGTGTTTAGTTCCACGTTAAAATTGGAAGTTTGACTAAAATTGAAAATTTAAAAGAAAAAAGTTGAAAATTTATATGTGTAGAAAAGTTTTGATGTGATGGAAAAGTTGAAAATTTATATGTGTAGAAAAGTTTTGATGTGATGGAAAAGTTGAAAGTTTGAAGAAAAAGTTAAAAACTAAACCATGCCCTACTTTAAGAGGAAGATGATCTACATTATAACTACAAGGCTCCCTATATATATACTTATATATACTTATCACGGCAGCCATGCATCATTAGCAAACTGATAATGGTTTCTTAGATACACATACACATATACATCTAACACCATCTCACAACTAGCTATCGAGGGTGACGTAGATGATGCAGAACTAATTCAGGGGATCAGGCGATCAGCACAAGTGTGATGTTGTATGTTGTATGATATTTTTTTCCTTATCAATGTAGGAGTATTTGCGTACAAATGATGTATCAATTTTCTTTGTTTTAGAGGGTGGGGGTGGGGGGAATAGAGAGAATAGAGAGGATGGTGGAGAAAGAAGATAAACTGACATGTGAGACTCATGTGAGGGTTGAGGGTAATGGTATTTTGGTTCATACAGAAATACGGTAGAAAAACGATTCAAATAAAAACATGTTTGAGGCATACAAAATGACATTCATCCAATTTCATATGTATTGTAGTGGCATGGTTCTACTTAGGTGAATAGTAGTGGTATTTTTATGATATGGCACATTTCCAATGACATGGATTAAATTTAACCGAAAAGAAATTCCGTTGCATGCACGGGCATGTAAAGAATTTTAGAGAAAATACCGATGCAGTCTTATTTTTCCCTGTTGCACACTTAGATTTTTGACTATATTTATTTTCATTAACCTTTCTAATTAGGCAAAATTTGCTACAGGACACTCAAAAATTGTATAATTGGCTGAGGGACACCGCAAAAACGTGACACTGCTGATAGACAGTACAAAAGTTGTGTAATTGGCTGTAAGACACCGGAGGCATTATTTTATAATTTTTAGGCTGAAAGAGGGGATAGAAATTTCGAAATGACGAGAATGCCCCCTCTACTCATTTCCTTCTTCGCGATGCAGCTGCGGGAGAGGATGGCGAGGACAAGCTGGGAGAGCTTGACTTTGACGGCCGCGGGAGTTGCAGCCACGGGAGAGGATCTCGGCGATGCGGCGACAGTTCTCCTCCCCGGCGCCAACGATATTCCCGACCAGCGAAGGGACGTCGACATCGTCCGTGGCGGCGAAGCTGCAGAGGAAGAGAGGCAGCGGGTGGGTGCGCATGGGGAGGCAGCCAAGGAGCGGCATGGGCGGAGCTGGTCAGAGGATGGCTAGCTTAATGTCCCCACTGCGGAATCCAGCCTCGGCGAAGACGCGGCTAATGACGAGGTCATTGAGGATGGAGATGGGGGCCTTGTCAGTGGAGGTAGAGACAGAGGGAAGCCTGTTGAGGGAGACGGCGGCGCTACGGGCACAAGCCGAGGGCGTCGTGGAGGAAGGGAGGCATGGGCGGGGCGAGGAGGGAGGAGATGAGATGGTCTGTGTGTGGACGCGACTGCAGCGTCGAGGGTGGGGACGGAGGCCAGCGAGAGGCGCTGCCTCGCGGCGGCCACCGGAGCAGGCATCGCTAACTGTCTCGCTGGATTGATCGGATTTTGGAATGGATGCAGCGGCGTCGGTTGGCGTCAAGCGCTGGTGACAGGTGGACGACGACACTGTGCACGGGCCCACATGTCGGCTGCATTAAGAAGAAAGGAGTAGAGGCCCAGATGGGGGCATTCTCGCCATTTCGAAATTTCTCTCCCCTCATTCAGTCCGGAAATTATAAAATAATGCCTCCAGTGTCCTATAGCCAATTACACAATTTTTGTAGTGTCCATTAGCAGTGTCACATTTTTACAGTGTCTCTCAGCCAATTACACGATTTTTGAGTGTCCTGTAGCAAATTTTGCCTTATAATTAATTGCACCGGGTGCACCATGAGGCTAATATTTTGTTCTGGGCTTCTGTACTGTAGGCCGAGTCATCCTCATCACCTATTAGGCTTTATGCTTGTAAAGCCCAGGTGTGTATGTATTCATTCTAGGAAGGAATAAGATCATCTAAGGTCCCTTAACTTGCCAACGAATCCGATTTTCGTCATTCAATCGGAAAATTAGATACAACGGGTCCCTCAACTATTAAAATCGGTGCAGATGAGGTCCTTCAGCGGTTTAGATGGCGGTTTTGGCTGACGTGGCACATATGTGGCTAATTTGACTCGGTTTTCATCAGACGTAGCGCTTATGTGGCAATTTGATTCGGAAAAATGATAAAACCTGTGGGACCCACATGGGCCCCACATGTCATCCTCACTCCCCTCCTCTTCTTCCTCCTCTCTCCCCGTCTCCCCTCTCTTTATCTTGTAGGCGGCCGTTGGGAAAGAAGCTGCGCGTGGGCGCCGGCCGGAGGGAGGAGAGGAGCTGTGCGCGTGCTACGCCTGCCACTGCCTTCGCAACTCGCGGATCTTCCTCCACAAGCCTCGTCGCGCTTGAGCTCCGCCCGCCACGGCCACGCGCCAGTAGCTGCAGCGTTGTCTCCTCTGCTACCGCCGCCGCTGGTTTCCCCTCGGCGAAGGCAGGCCTCACGGGCGGAGGAGCGTGGCCACCACCACCACGGCCCCCCTCCATCCGTGGAGTTTAGATCGTCATCATGGCCGCTCCCCTCATGCCGCAGCCGCGAAGGGACCTCGTCCCTTCCGCCGCCGACGCCAATGGACACCACCGCCCCACGCGGCGGCACCGGGCGGTAGTGTTAGGATGGTGTTTTCAACTGAAGCATTGACCCAAGAAAAAATTCACGTTGAAAACACCATCCTAGCTCCTTTTATTTCAACTGAAGCCTACTGTGAAAACTACCAAATCATCCTATCCTATCCACTCAATTTTGGCACCAATATCAAATCACAAAAAATCACAATCGACTTTGATATAAATAATTCAATAAAATATAAAAGGTAAGGTGATATATATAAAACTAAAGCACAAATCATAAAATTTTCCTCATTGAAATCCGGATAGGGTACAAAATTGTGATTGATTTCATGTAAATAAGATGTTCAGATTATAGCTAAAATAAATCTTAGGTGGCAATGCCAAAATTTTGGTAACAAGATTTCTTATCTATTTATAAAAAATTGGTAAGAAACTAAATAGATGCATATCAATCCCAATTTCTTAAAAAAAAAGAAAGGCTAAAAGTAATAATAAATTTACCGATCTGCCCTTGCTTGCGGCTTTTACCCTTCCGCGAACCGCGGCGGTGAGAGAGGAAGACGTGGTGGAGTGAGAACTGAGAAGGCGGGGGAGAAGAGCAGCGCCGCCGCCGCCGCCGAGCTCTCCGGCGACGCCAAGTCGAATCGGAGCCCGACGCGGCGGATGAAGCGCCGGCCCGCCATGGACTCCCACAACGAGCAGCCGCCGCCGCCGAAGAGCTTAAAGGTTCGCGATCCTCCAAACCCCCTCCCTCCCTCCCGGCTTCGCATCGCTCGCTGGCCTTCGTTAGGTTGTACGCGCGCGCGCGCGCGTGGTTGGTTTGGTTGGTTCTTCGTCGGAATGCGAGTGGAGGAGTGGGTTAGCGAGGTCGGCTCCGATGGGCGCGCGGGAGGGCCCGTCCGTAGTTTCTGGCTACTGGCTAGGGCTCCGATGAGGCGAGGAGTGAAAGGCGCGGGTGTGTGTACGGTGAATTTTGGATGATCCGTGCGAACCTGGTGGTGTGGTTTCTGTGCTGAAGTATTGATGATTCTTACTACTACTATCTCACATTTGGGTTAAATTTGGGGGTTTCTTTAGTCATTTAGTGCCGGTAGTAATCCAAATCCGCTAGGGTAGTTGGAAATGGAGGTTATTGGAAAGCGTTTGAACAAATATTCGTGTAGTATGAACAAATCATCTTGTGGTCCATTGCCTTGGACCATGGGGATCAGGGCAAATGTGATTCGGTTGTTCAGGAACTTCAGATGCTACAAGTGGGTGGCGGGCTGGATGTTTCGCGGCGCAGAATAGTTATGTGTGAGTTTTAGGACTCCTATATTCAATATCTAATGTTGGAGGTTTGGTTCTTGGTATCCTTAAGTTAATAGCCAATGTGGTCCTTGTCCCTTTGCACACTTGTCCACTTTGGTCACTTTATAATACTATACTAGGGCCTTGTTTAGTTCCAAACTTTTTCTTCAAACTTCCAACTTTTCCATCACATCAAAACTTTCCTACACACATAAACTTCCAACTTTTCCATCACATCGTTTCAATTTCAACCAAACTTCCAATTTTAGCGTAAACTAAACACACCCTAGTACTTCCTATGTGCCATCAGCTGATTAGCATTACTGTAACATTGCAATACTTCCTGGGGCACACCTGGGATCATAATTACATTGATTGCTGGGATATCAAGAAGTAAAGTAGCGAATCAAAGTCCCTTTCTTGGTAAATCTGTATATACTAATGCCCCCTTTGATTCAAATCCATTTGATTGCTGCCTGGTATGATGTTCTCTTCCATTGTAAACTATGTGCAATTCCAACGAGAGAATAGCTGGGTTATATTTCTAGCAGCTTAATGAGTCAGTAAATCCAATATTTGTGCAGATCTATGTGAAGATGATGAAGACGTTCACCCTCAATGTGAATAGTACTGATACAGTCGATCAGATCAAATCCAAACTCAGTGCTATTGAGGGGATTGACAAGAGCAAGCAAGAGATGTTCTTTGCTGGGATGCACTTGAAGAATGAGGATAAGCTTGCTGATTATAACATCATGACCAACTCTTCTGTTGACCTCTATGTCACTGATGCTATTCAAATATCTGTAAGGATTCCCTCTGTTGGAAAGACCACCAAGCTCAATATGAGGAAATCGAATAGTATTGCTGACATCAAGGCGGAGATTGAACAGGAGGAAGGAATTCTTATGAACGAACAAATCCTGATGTATGCCGGTCAACAGCTTGAGGACAACCAGTTGTTAAGTCAGTGCGATTTGAGGAATGATCAGACATTTCATGTTTTGGTTTGCCCAAATGACAAGCTTCATGTCTTTATCAATGTTAGAGGAGAGAAAACTATAGGCCTTGAAACTAAACGCTGGTACACCGTTGCTGATGTCAAGTTGATGATTGAGAATTTGGAGGGCTTGCCTGCATGCAGCCAGATACTCACACGGATGCAATCTGGTGTTGGTGTGGCGCTCACAGATGGTCGGATGCTACAGGATCAGCATGTCAAAAACAATGATACTCTCTTGCTGCAGCAGAATGTTCAGTTCTTCGTCAAGTCATGGGAGGGTAAGACCTTAACTATGGTTTTGAAAACGTCCGACACGGGTAAGCAAATCAAGGATAGAATTGCAGAGAAGTTGCGGATCAAAGAAAGTCTGTACTATCTCTGTCACAAGGGACGTGTTCTGTTAACTGAGGATACTCTTCTGGATCATGAGGTCGAGAGTAACTCCACAGTTTACATCCGCCTTCGGAATTCAGCGGTGGTGAAACCAAATGCAAAGAAGCGCTAGGTAGCTACTTCTATGAACTATCAACTTCCTTAAGGCAAGAGACAAAACATAGTTGCTTAGACGTTAGACCCTCGTATGGTTAGTTTTTGGTGTTACTAATCCTAGTTCTCTAGCAGTGAACTGGAGGTTTCAGGTTCCTGACTTGTGATGCCTATCTATTAGTAATACTTTTGCTGTAAAAACTTTTGCTTGAACTGAAGGGGAGACACAGAAAGAACTGTGCATATTTCCATCTTGATCTACTGTTTTGTGAAACAGGTCCTAAGCTGGAGTGATGAACTATGATGCTAGGTTAACATGTGTCAAACTTGTGATTATTTCACATGGCATAGGGACAGTACTGTCCATGACTGAAAATGTGTATTGTCAGCCTCCATAGCTATTTACCAAACCTGTCCACTGCAAATTAAGCTAATCTTGATGACCAATGATGAACATCAAAAGGGCCATATCCCTTAATTATTCAGGTGATCCAATGGCTCAACATGTCTTCACCAGCACACCGAACCTCAATTTTGTATTTTGTCCTTTTTGTTGAAACTGCACAATTCCTGATGTGATTTGGTCAAAAGTTGCATACTTAATTGGTAAGCCAAACATGTGTGGCCATCGTGCAGAAACTCGGTGCTGGTCTAAAGGGAGGATCCAAGTACGCTCCATGATGGAGAGAGGCAAGGGTAGGACCGGTTAAGAAGATAGAAATGGAGTTTTGGCTTGATGTCCTTGAACTTCTTAATTTTTTCATGATTCATCCTGAACTTGTTTTTTTCATGCCCTTGTACTTCTAATATTTGTTAGGATATTTTATAGCATTCCTCTTTGAAGTTTGAACCCATAAATCTTGTCTTTATTGGTTTTCTAAGCTTGTTTTGCATGATATTGTTACGGTACTCGGGTTAAATTTAGGTTTCCCCCTAAAATTTTCATGAACTTCTTTATTTCTCAAGGAAAGTTGCAAGAAAGCATAATAATTTGTTGTGAAGTATTAACGATTCAAAAGCCAAGACTAGAAAATAGAGTACAGTTTAAAAACTAAAATTAACTTTCAAATTAAGGTTTAAAATTCAAGTTTTGGTTATGACAGATAAGCCACCAAATGATAAGATCATGAGAGATGTAAATCAAAGTGGTACCTAAAATTGAAGGGAAAAAAAGTAAGAGCATAGCCATCATTAGACAACAAACTACCAGCGAAATTTCAACCAATTGACAGACCGCATTTGGTACAGCGTCAATTTCATCCCACTCACTTTGTTTCATATTATAAATCATTTGACTTTTTTCATATTCAAAATTTTTTCAAGTTTGATCAAGTTTATAGAAAAAATATAATATTATTTTCAACCAAAACAAACATATTATCAAAAATATATGTAAATTTAGATCTAATGAAACTAATTTGCTATTTTAGATGTTGTTTTTAGATAGATGCTATTTTAGATGTTGCTAAATTTTTCTATAAATTTAATCAAACTTAACAAATTTTAACTAAAAAATAAAATCAAAAATAAAATCAAACGACCTATAATATAAAACGGATAGAGTACCTTCCATTCTTTTATAACAAGCTAAGAACAGAACCAAAATATCCCCAAGGTGAAAAGAGCAAACGTCGCCTTCAATAAACCAAACCAACTAAAAATCGTCACTAAAACTGCCCCAAGCCCCAACCACAGGGGCAAAACCGTAAATTTATCACATCCTGGTTTGCGCTGTGCGCCCATCCATCCTCCCTCGTCTCTTACTACCTTCCACGCTTCCATCCCACGTCTTCTCCACTTTTCTTCCATCCATCCATCCATCCATTTGATTCAAGAACCCCAATCCAAACCCCCCTCAACTCGCCCCAAAATCCCTAACTCCCGAAGAAATCGCCGAGAAATATCTCTCATCTTGCCGCCGGATCGAGCCCGATTCCCTGCACCGAGAGAGAGGTGAGGCGATCCGGATCTATCTGATCTCCTCGTTCGTCGCCATTGTTGCAAGTGAAGTGAAGTGGGAGCAGGGATCATCCATGGCGGGGGTGGGGGTGGAGGAGGAGGAGGCGTTCGAGCACACGCTGCTGGTGGTGCGGGAGGTGTCGGTGTACAAGATCCCGCCGCGGACGACGAGCGGCGGGTACAAGTGCGGTGAGTGGCTGCAGTCCGACAGGATCTGGTCGGGGCGGCTCCGCGTGGTGTCGTGCGGCGACCGCTGCGAGATCCGCCTCGAGGACCCGGCCTCCGGCGACCTCTTCGCCGCCTGCTTCGTCCTCCCAGGCCAGCGCGAGGCCGCCGTCGAGACCGTGCTCGACTCCTCCCGATACTTCGTGCTCCGGATCGAGGATGGCAGGGGGAAGCACGCCTTCGTCGGGCTCGGGTTCGGCGAGCGGAACGAGGCGTTCGACTTCAACGTCGCGCTGTCGGATCACGAGAAGTACGTCAAGAGGGAGCACGAGAAGGAGGCGGCCGACGGCGGCGCCGGCGGCGGCGAGGAGAACGACGACGGGCAGATTGACATCCACCCGGCGGTCAATCGCCGGCTCAAGGTGAAAATAATGGACTAGTTTTTTATTTTTTATTTTTAAGAATATAGTCTGATTGATCATGCAGCGAAGTCTAGTGCTCATTTTGTGATTGTGGTTAAGAGTTCAGAAAATGGGTTAGAAATGTTGTCCTGTTTAGGTTGGTTAAATTAAATACATTCATTTAGTAAGTGTTAGTGTGTATTTAGGTTGACCCAAAAGAAGAGAAATGCATCATGAGTGTTGTGTTTAGCATGCCGTTTGGCAAATAGGATATGTCATTTGCTATCGAGTTAGTAAGTAGAGGACTCCAATCAAAGGTTACGCATCAAGATTTCTAAGAAGTGAAAGCCGAACATAGGTTCGGAATATATTGAATTATGTAGCCCAATGTACTCTTAATATTTAGTGGATCAGATCAGATATCTAGGCAAGGATAAACCGATAAACGTCCAATCAAATAACCAAAAAAATTGGGAAGTTAATTTTTTGACTTGGCACATTGGTTACTTATATTATGTTCTGAATGCCATGATCACAGTAGTAACTTTTACTATGTTACGAATCGCACGGTCACACTAAGGAAATAAGTGAACACTCATCTGGTGGTGATTAGTAATTTGCATCTGGGACGCCTGTGTGAACAAAAGGTGACTTCATGTGATTTCACTGAACTTTTAGTTAGTCCATATTGTTGCATTTGGTGTAGTGCTCAAGATTCAACATGCAAGTGATTGACTGATTGTTGTTGTCCATTTTGTAGTTTTTGCTATGCACTAAGAAATTTTGGATGAGTACAATGTGATGTGCACCATATCTTGATATCAAGGCCCAGCACTGTTTGAGAGTTTACGTAGAAATATGATATGACTAGATGTTTATAATGGTGCTAAATTCCCCCCCCCCCCCTTTCCCAATGTTATGTTAAAATTGTGTGAGAACTTCTTATAGTTCATCTTCAAGAGACTAAATTGTAAACAAGGGAGTATTTTTTACTTGCTTGGAGAAATTGGAATAGTTACTGCTGTTAAAATTGACCTTTTAATGGTGTTCTTGGTGTTTTAGGAAGGTGAAACCATCAGGATAAATGTAAAAAATAAGCCATCAACTGGAAGTGGTATGCTTTCATCAGCTGGTTTATCTGGAGGGGCCAGTGCAAAACCCAAGGCAAGCATGCTCCTTGCGCCGCCACCGGGTTCAGCTGGGAAGCTTCGATCTCCTCTTCCACCTCCACCAAATGACCCTGCTGCCGCAAGGATGAATTCTGGCTCTAATGCTGGAATCAGGGCTCCAAAAGAACCCGCCAAGAGAAATAGCGACGCCTTTTCAGATCTTTCTGCTATGAAGGTAACAATTATATTTTGTGCATTTTATACTAAGACAGCCTTCTCATTTTTGCATTATGATGGGGATTAGAAGAAACACCTTCCCTGCTTTCCTTTTTCCGCCCAAATATAGCTGCGCAATGCTTAATTTTTTAACCTAATTTTCATTCTTAGTGATGAAGGAACCAGTTTTCAGATTCAAGTTCCAAGTAAATATAGTTGTAAATGCATTTTCTGCATTCTCTTGTCGGGTAGTAGTTGTTATAGATCCTTTATTGTCACTTGTCAATAAGACTGATAACTAGAAAAACCTAGGAGATCTGACATTTTTATTTTACTAGATTGTTCACGTGATTTGCCCAATTTTTGTAGTCTTAAACTTTGGGGACTTTGTAATCATACTTGGTTCCTTCAATACTTGGTTTCTTCAAGTTCATGTTCTAATATTTAAATCATTTGTCGTGTGCAGCAAAACCTACCGTCATCGACAGAGTCGGCGCAAACAAAAAGCACAGGTGCTGGTTGGGCAGCATTTTGACAATGAGTCTGCCATCTGCTGTTGATAACCTTTTCTCAGGAAAAGGAAAAGAAAATTGTGTAACTGAAAAAAAAGAAATCCCTTGGAGGAAGCCTGTATCCGCTCGAATCACATGGTGATAATGACTTGCTAGCATCCACTTGGTACTCGAAAAAATAAAAGATTTACAGGATGATGTTGTTATTCATCGTGCGATGCCACATGGATTCCTGGAGCTTTGGAAGTCTGAAAAATATGAGTATGGCTTTCCTTGTTTGTCATATTTGTGTTGTCAGATTTTTCGCATATGAAACAAGAATCATACTGACCTCATTGTGTTGTACCCTTAAAGATTTGAGAACACTGTTATGAATGCGGCAGCTTATGTCACTGATGCCAAATTTTCTGTAAAACACGAGCACTGCATTCTTGTCTTTGTGCATTAATCAAAAGGTTTTGAGTTGTACTCCTATCTACTCCCTCACAAGTGTCCAGAATTGCTCTGACGAAAAGTTCAGTAACATAAGGCCTCGTCGTTTGATTTATACTTGTGCCTATAAGCTAAAATTTAGATTTTAGAACTTAATTTTGAATTTGAATTTATGGTTCTTTTTATCATAGTTTATTTATAATATTTGCTTGCGAAGGACAAATGATATTTGCTAATAAGCGATTTGGAAAAAGTATATAAATAAGCGAAACAATGAGTCCTGAAATCTGTGGGTTTTTTTACCATCATGGTAAAGTTGCAAGTTAATTTACCCACATATCACGTAAAATGAGATGGTAATAACGTGTGATTAATTGAGTTTTAATTATTACAAACTTGAAAAATGGATTAATATGATATTTTAGAGCAACTTTCATATAGAAAGTTTTCGCACGAAACGTATCGTGTAGCAGTTCGAAAAGTGTTCCACGAGAATCTAAAATTTCATCCAAACGAACGCAGTAAGGGTGTGTTTAGTTCTTGAAAAAATTAGAAGTTTAAAGAAAGTTGGGAGTTTGGAAAAAAAAAGTTGGAAGTTTACGTATATAGAAAAGTTTTTGATGTGATATAATGTGATGGAAAGTTGGGAACAGAGGAAAACTAGACATGGCCTTAAGGGGTGTGTTAGCAGTACCTATTTATTTGGCTCATAAGTGAATGCAGGGGCAGCTGAGCGAGGAAAATAATAAGAAACTGAGGGGTTCTTTTGGAATAACTCTACTCAATCTGGCTTATCCAACGGCTAGAGATCTTGGCATTTTGCAGGAAGATCCAGTTTTGGATCGCTAGATCGAAGCTGAAAAGGCTAAAAAAAAAGGGTCGTTGTTTTAGGCCTTTTTTTTAAGTTCGTGAAAAGAAAATTTTTAGTGTCACATCGGATATTTGACGGAATGTCAGAAGGGGTTTTTGGACATGAATAAAAAAACTAATTTCATAACTCGCCTGGAAACCACGGCATGAATCTTTTGAGCCTAATTAATCTGTCATTAGCACATATGGGTTACTGTAGCACTTATGACTAATCATCTATTAATTAGGCTAAAAAATTCGTCTCACGATTTCCCCCTAATTATGCAATTAGTTTTTATTTTTATCTATATTTAATGCTCCTGGTTTATTTTCCAATTTTTTTTCCAAAAAGTCACATTGAATCTTTGAACACATGCATGGAGCATTAAATATAAATAAAAACAAAAATTAATTGCACAGTTTACATGGAAATCGCGAGACGAGTCTTTTGAGTTTAATTGGTCCATGATTAGCCATAAGTGCTACCGTTACCCACACGTGCTAATGACAGCTTAATTAGGCTCAAAAGATTCATCTCGTTGTTTCTAAACGAGTTATGAAATTAGTTTTTTCATTTATATCCAAAAACCATTTCCAATATTCGGTCAAACATCCGATGTGACACTCAAAAATTTACTTTTCCTTGAACTAAACACACCATTATCTCCAACCTCCCCGATCGGTATTATCTTATTTTATTGGGGATCGGAGTTAGAAATCTTGCATTTTAGCCCTTACACTTACCTCCATTGCAGCCATTCTAAGTTTGTGCATTTTAGCCCCCCTCTAAATGTGGGGTAATTTACAACTTAGCCCCTAGGCTACCGGTGCTCTCTTTTCTCTCCGCCGCGCCGGCGAACTCGCGGCGGCTCTCCCCTTCCCCTCCGGCTCGACGGCGGGGGGCTCGCCGTCGTACCTCACCTCCAATCCATCTCCTCCGCCTCCGGCATGCATCGACTCCGTGGCCGCATGGGCTCGCGGCCGGCCGGCGTCATCCGCACCAGAGAGGATGGCGGCGGCGGCTCCTCCTCCGTGCCCACCGGCGGCGATGGCGGCTTCTCCGGCGATGCCATCCGCGGCCGCGAGGGGGTCAGGTATACTCGGTTTCTCTGAAACTTGCTCGCAATCTCGCATTGCTGCAGTTTTGCTGGGCTGAAAGGCAATGCTGTTCCTGTCCAATTTCTAGCTGCAGTTTTATTTTGGTGTTATTGCTGAATTTTGATAAACTTAGGCATATCGAACATTTTTTATTTTTAATTTTAAAAATACTAGCCAAATGTCCGTGCGTAGCAACGGATTATTGAAAATAGCAAAATTAGCTATTAGGTCTTTGTTGAACAAATATATTTTTGATTGGTTGAAACACAAGCTTTCATCTTAAAAAAAATGACATGCTTCGACTCCCCCATATCCTAATATCATGGTCCACATGTCAATTATGGTGGTGGTCAACACTATTATCTTTTAATAGTAGTATAGAAACATTTTCAAAAAATAAAGTTTAGAAGGATTTGTTTTTAAAATTAAAAATTAAAAATTAAAAAGGTTCAAAAAAATAAAAAAAAACTTTTTTTGGTTCATGAGCTGCAATTCTGCACCGAGTTCCTGACCAATCTGTAGTGCAGAGGCCTAGTGCATGTTTCTGCGACACCATCCTGCAGTTAAATTGATGAGTATAAAAATACTCCATATATAGCTCATTGTAACAGGTTGAGCATAAAAAAAATGCAATGGCCTCTGCAGTGTCTGCACATGTGCTGCACCATGATTGAATAGTGGCAACAAACTTGGGTGTATGTTGGTTAACAATCAAGGTTCACTACTCCGAGAAGCCTGGTTGCGTGCCTAACAGCAGAGGCCAGAAATGCAATACATTTCCATTATCGAAAAGATGGCTCCGAGAAGCATTTCATTAGCTGAAAGATAGACCTGTCCAGATTGATTTACAAGGGGAGTGACCGCTGCAAATGCATGCGTGGAGATGGTGTTCTCCTCTTCTCAAGTAGCCACTCATTTTAGGGTACATTTTTAGCCTATGTCTATTTGTAGCATCCTCCTCTTCTCTTCCACCACCTTTTCTTGTCTACCTAAAAACACTTCAACCAAAATTCTCTTGACTGTTTCAGGAGAGAAGAAAATTTTGGATATAGTTTGTAAATAGAACTGTAGACATCATTGTATAAGGGTTATACATTTTTTGAAGCAATTGAGTTTTCTCCTCTCCTTGGTGGCAATGGATTCAGCGAGGAGTTGGTTCACCAAGCTCCAAACCAGAGAGAAATCCATTGGGAAGAAGAAAGAATTGCCTCCCAATGGCAAGGAAGGGACCGACGAGGCGCCATCGAGCGCTACCAAGCAGAGGGTTGCTGCGGCGAAGCAGTACATTGAGAAGCATTACAAGGAACAGATGAAAAATTTGCAGGACAGGAAAGAAAGGTATGGAGGATCAGCAGCATTTTCCAGCTTCCTGTTTTTATCTGTTAAAATCATGTTCCAAGCATTTGATCCGATTGTAGTGTTGCACTTTTGTTTCACACAACCTCAAGATTGCCTATGAGAAAAGCCAAATTGACCACAACTAATAATATGATCAGTTTCCTCCTGCAAGAATAAGGGATGATGTATTCTTAGGACAGTTTATTCATCTAAATTATGTAGCTTTTTCTAACTAATGCTTACGATCTTTCTCATGCTATTGTTGATCCTGTTTTAACCATGTAAATTTGGTTTTTACAGAAGGTGTAGTCTAGAAAAGAAACTAGCAGATGCTAACGTCTCCGAGGAGGAGCAGCACAACATAGTTAAGCAATTTGAGAAGAAAGAGACAGAGTATATGCGTATGCAGAGGCACAAAATGAGTGTTGATGATTTTGATCTTTTGACAATGATAGGGAAAGGAGCATTTGGTGAGGTAAACTAAACTATTCATGCAAACATGGAAAAATCTCTTTTGTGATCCACTTTTCTAGTTGCTGCAATATTTTTTCCTCTAGGTTAGAGTCTGCAGAGAGAAGAACACAGGAAATGTTTATGCGATGAAGAAACTTAGGAAGTCAGAAATGCTTCGTCGTGGTCAGGTATGCCTAAATCCTTTCAATAATTTTGAGTGCATATTTACATCAATTGTTTGTTCTCTGAGTTCTATGTTTTTCATTTCACAAAGGTTGAGCATGTCAAAGCTGAAAGAAATCTTCTTGCTGAAGTGGATCACCATTGCATTGTTAAGCTATACTGTTCATTCCAAGACAGTGAATATCTGTACCTCATAATGGAATACCTCCCTGGAGGCGACATGATGACATTGCTAATGAGGAAAGATACATTGACTGAGGATGAGGCCAGGTTCTATGTTGGTGAAACAGTTCTTGCAATAGAAGCAATCCACAGGCACAACTACATCCACAGGTGTGTATATTTGTAGCTTCATATCAGCTTCTTCTTACCGCTGTTGAGATGTTCTGATGAACTTAGCACATGATTTTCAGAGATATCAAGCCTGATAATCTTTTATTAGATAGACATGGTCACTTAAGACTGTCAGATTTTGGATTATGCAAACCACTAGATTATTCCAACTTCCCAGACCTGAATGAGAAGGATGTTACGTCTACAAAACCACAGTCAACAAATGGTGATGGGAGACAGCAATCTATGCCCAAACGCACGCAGCAAGAACAGCTGGAGCACTGGCAAAAGAACAGAAGAACTTTGGTTAGTAGCTAGCAAATGTGCCAACAATCATTAGAAACTTCTTCAGAATTCACCTGTTATTCCTTGTGTCATTATCTATTTCTCAATGCATTCAGAATTTTCGTTTCCATGTTTTGACTGGCAGTTAATGATTTCAGGCATACTCCACTGTCGGTACACCGGACTACATTGCTCCAGAAGTTCTTCTAAAAAAGGGTTATGGAATGGAGTGTGATTGGTAAGCATCGTTTACATAAATATCTCGTGCCATGGACCTCTTGAGTTTGCAGTAAAGAAATTGAATAATTTCAACTATCTAGGTGGTCACTTGGAGCAATCATGTATGAAATGCTAGTGGGCTATCCCCCATTCTATTCTGATGAGCCTATGACAACTTGCAGAAAGGTGATATATATTTTTCAGACTTGCAGCTATGAATATATAATTTCTTGACCCTCATTTCCACTAATTCCACATTTCAGTAGTCTGTAAACACCTTTTCCATTATTTAAGAAAAAATAAATCGTGTTTGTTCCTGACATTTTTTTTAATTTATTGTGCCCATATGGGCACACAGATAGTGAATTGGCGAACACATTTGAAATTTCCTGAAGAAGCAAGGCTAATGACAGATGCAAAAGATCTTATAAGCAAACTCTTATGCAATGTTGACCAACGTCTTGGCACAAAAGGGGCCGAGGAAATAAAGGTTGTTGTGTGTTCTTTAATATAGTGTTTTACATTCCTTAAAGCAATTTTTTGCTTCCTTGTCCAAGGAAATATTAGATATGCTAATGAATTTCGTTAATAGTATTTTGCATGTATATGTTTGGTTTTAGGAGCACTCCTGGTTTAGTGGAGTAGAATGGGACAAATTATATGAAATAGAAGCAGCATATCAACCTCAAGTCACTGATGAGTTAGATACTCAGAATTTTGAGAAGTTTGAAGAGGTTAGGGGTCGTTTCTTTTGGCCTAAAGGAATTCAGTTTCAATAAGTTGGTATAAATGTTATTCCTATGGTGTGTTTTGCAGTCTTCAGACAATATTCAATGTTCAGCAAAGGCGGGACCTTGGAGAAAGGTAACTCTGTTTTTAGATAGTACATGTTCTCAAGAATTTTTTCCCAAAAGAAAAAAAAATGCTCTATTGCTAAAGTACCAAAAGTGAAGATAATCTGGAAGCAAACTCATTTTCTAACCAGTTTTGCAAAACCATACACAATTGATCAATTATTAGTCATTAGCTTTGGAAAATACAGTATATGCAAAGAATTTCCACCTTTTAGAAGAAACATGATGACTTACCCATTGTGTCTTTTGCAGATGCTGTCTTCAAAGGATTTGAATTTTGTGGGCTACACGTACAAGAACTTCGAACTTGTGAATGATCCTGAAGTACTTGGAATGGGTACTCTACTCCCCATCTTCTCAATAAGTAACCATGTTTCTTTCTCGAGAATATCATAGTACCAGTGCAAACCTAATGACATAGAGCATGTCTCTTCCAGAACTGCATTATGTTTCTTCCATCCTATTTGGAGCTATAATTCTATACAAGGCCAACTATTTGAGGCACATGATTGAGTTGCAATATATGTTCTAGTCTTTAATACTCTTTTACTTTCTACACAGCTGAGTTGAAGAAGAAGGAGAAGGCTAAGAGACCAAGCGCCAAATCCCTCTTTGGTATTCCCTCAAGAGCCTTGGCAGTGTTGTGTTCTTCTTCAATTAGAAGGCACATTTGATTTGATATCTTCTCCTCTTTTTTTTCTTTCTGTTGATGCCATAGATTCTTCACCCGACGCAGAGGAGCAACCAGCACCAGCACCAGCACCAGCTGAAAACGACGAAGGAAGTACCAGGAGTACAGAGCCTGACATGCCAAGAAGCCTGAGCGCACCGTCGACATAGAGGCTTTGCTCTGAGCCCAAACACATATGTTACCAACACGTAGCAACTGGCATTCACTTCGTCAACATAGGGGCTTTGCTCTGAATCCCTGCAATTTTTTGACGCATCACTCCATGTATGTAGAGAAAATGAAGGCGAAGCTTAGATCCAAAGAGTAATAATGCTCTAATGGATCGATGTCAATAACTGAATTCAAATGTATGTATAGCGATGTAAGAGACTAGCAACAGTGTATAATATTGCTAAGAGTGATTATATGGTCCATGATGAGGAGGCGACAGGTGGTATTGCCAATTTTTTAGTGTTAGTGCCTCAACACTAGATAGGTATCAAAAGTTACAAAAGTATACACTAAAATTAAATTTTAGAGTAAATTACATCCATGGTACACTAATTTAATTTGGTATGTGAGTATAATTTAATAGAAGAACTTGAGAAGTAAATATTACGGTGCAACAAGTTGATAGGTTGGTGCGATTTATTACATAAACTACAAGTGAACATACAGGTGTAAGGTGAATACGATTTTAGGATAATAACTTAAAAAGTGGCCAAACAACTTAATTATTTTGAACATCTTTTGCTATACATATTCAGTTTTTAAATACTAATTTTGTCGATATACTAGCAAAGATTTGTATAAGCATACTTCAATGTATTCATTCTAGTAAATAAAAGTCACTTAAATTTTAATATCTAAAAAAATATGTATTTTGGTTGAGGCTTCAGATGGTGAAGAAAAAAAATCCAAGACGGTAGTGCAAACTGGACGAGCAACAAAATTTTTTAGATTAAATTTAATATAATAAGGTAATATTCGCAGGATTGCTATGTGATGGCATATCGATATCATAGAAAAATTCACCTATCAGTCGTTAACCAAAATAATGCATACTCATATCTTCTCAAGTTCTTGTACCGGAATGCACCCACTTGTCAAGTTGTTGCACTCAAACGTTTTTAATTCTTAAGTTCTTATACTAGATTGCACACATTGATAGTTGTATCATGAGTGCAATTTACTCATTTCTTTAAAAAAGAAGAGAGTTTCAAGCATCTGAATTTTTTTAAAATGTAATCGTATTTGTCATCCCTTAAATGATAATCCAATTATTCTCATTGTTCCTCTATTTCTTATTTAAACAAAGTCCCTTCTTTAGATAAAAGGTTGAAAAAAACAAAATTACAGAACATAAACTTTTAAAATTTACAGATTACATGCAAAAATTCAAACTTAGATAAAAAAAATAAAGTAAAATCATACATAGCAAGAAAACAGCAATTAAATTGAACTGAAATTACACATTGCGTCGCACTATAATTTTATTAGGATTAGCAAATTTTCGGGCACTTGAAATCCAGCAAATCCCATAAAAAAGATCTCATGTTGCAATCTTTCCTACCTTGACGAAGAGAGGCATCACATGAACTGGCGTGTGTATACTAATGACACTTTTAATAATTCATCTATATGGATTTAGACCCAGTGATGCTAATTAAGTATTCCAAATTGCAAATTGTACTCTGGTGCTTTTCTTGGCCACAAGATGTGCTAGCACTTGAAGAGTTATTCCAAAACCAAACAATGTATTGGAACAAAGGATAATTCGTTGGCCGATCCTACCTGCCAAGCTAATCATTAATCAACAAGTCGTTCAAAAAAAAATCATTAATCAACACATTCTATGCATAAAAACCCTTCTGCTTTTTTTTTCTCATTCAACCAACAAGCCCAGGTCCAAGTTTAGAACGTATTAATCTATCTGAATGATTGGATATGTAAATTATGTAGGCAAAGGGGAATTGCTCGTATGGATTAATTAAGTACTATTACAAAGCTATAAAGCTAACAAATACTCCCTCCGTCCCAAAATATAACAACTTTAATCACTTACAATTTGCCTCAAAATATAACTTCACCAAGATTCTCTTCCCAACCAATCACAATTATCCATCATTCACTTTTCTCATCTACTTCCACTTCTCAACCAATCACAATCTTTACATATTTAATTTTACCTACTTTCTTAATAAATGTGTCCAACACTCTAAAACTTCTTATATCGTGGGACAGAGGTAGTAGATTATTAGAGAAAGTTATTGCATGATCAACGCTGATACAAAATGTTTTCAAAGAAACCATGCTTTTTGGATGCGTGTCACGAATAAGCCATACCTCCAAACACACCTTTAAGAGCAAGGATAATAGTGAGCTATAAGCCAACCATAAACTTATTATGTGAAAAAGAAAGATAAAGAAAAAAATGAAGCGCTAACTCTTATGCAAAAGCTAGCTCTACATATGCCCTAAATATATGTATTAAGTTCATAGTGAGAGAAAGAGAGGGAAAAAATAGAACTAACCTTAACTAGTAACCTACTCCCTCTGTCCCACTCGCTAAGACGCGGTCAAATTTCGCATAGTCTTCAAAACTAATCTTTTACTTTAAATTTCTCACATACTACAATGTTCATAGCAACAAAATCGCAATCATATGAAAATAAATATAAATAATAATCCAATGACATTATCTTTATCCCAAGAAAAATAATTTATAATAAACTATTTATTGGTCAAATATTTAAATAGTTAAATTTTAAAATATGTGCGCATCTTAATGAATAGGACAGAAGGAGCATTATACATGTTAGCTCTAATACGAGCTTACCGTTATAGCCAGTACTCACTCCGTTTCTAAATATTAAGAATCTAAGATATCGGATGAGGCATTTCCTGTCCAGATTCATAGCAAGAAATTTTTTATCCTACCATATATTCTTATATTTTGGAACTGAAACAGATGGATTCTTATACTCCCTCCATCTACTTTTGATAGTCATATTTCATCTTGACACACAGACCAAGGATAAGTGATTCTACTTATCATCCATTTATATATGCTACTAGTTATTCCTCGTAAACAAACGATTCATTAATATTTACATTTCTCGATGCCCATGTAGCTAATCTTGTGTGGAAGAATGGAGAGACACGCATTAAATACAAGAAAGCTATTAAGATGATAAGTTGTTAGATTGAAATATGCCTATCAAAAATAAATTTTTCAGATTTGAAAATATGACTATCAAAAGTAGATGGAGGGAGTATTTTGGAACGGATGGAGCACTAGTTTAGCTCGATCTTATTAACCGGTTTCCTCGGGGACCTAAGACTAAAAAAAAACTTCCACCACGCCCACCAACCACCATGCCTCCCTTCCCTTCCCTTCCCCCTTGGAACCACCAACGCATGCGAACGCCCCCGCGCGCGCGCGCCCCTCCCTCCCCACCATTCCTTCTCGCCGCTCCCTCCGCAACCCACCCACCCTTCCTCCTCCCTTCCCCGGTTGCAGGCGCGGCGTCGATGCGATCCTGCCGCGGCATCGCATCCGCTGCGTAGCTCGGCGGCCGGGGGGTGGCGCGACTTCTTCCTCTTTCTCTTTTGCTTTCCTGGCTTAGCTCCGATCCTGCGCTGATTCGATCATCCTCCGGTAGGTTCTGTATCTTGTAGAGGAAGATGATGATTTGGGATTTTTTTTGTTTTTTTTTCATGTTGATTTTTGCAGATTTCGGTGGCTTTTTTTTTTGCCTGGTGTTTCTGCTCGACCATGCTGGCAGGTTCTTCATCTAAGAGGGTGATGCTGCTTCAGCAATTGGCAGCTAGCTAACTCTTTAGACCAAAAGAAGAATTCTGTGGTTATATGCAACAGAGAAGCGCATTCTTGCTTTGATATTCGCCGTTTTACCGGGTCGGCAGCGATCAGGGTGTGGTGACCATGGAGCAAGTGGTCGGAGGGAAGTATAAGCTCGGGAGGAAGATTGGGAGTGGGTCATTTGGGGAGCTATATCTCGGTATGTTTCATGCATGCATGTAGCTAGCTCATGAGGAAAGCAGTTTTCAAAATTTGTGATTTTTATGCTTTTCTCTCTGCCTTTTTGTTGTTGTAGGTGTTAATATACATAATGGGGAGGAAGTGGGAATAAAGCTGGTATGTCCTGATAAAATTTATTATAATTTATTTACGGGTTGCATTTGTTATGGCATTTCCCTTGCCTAGATATCCTTTTTTTCTTTTCTTTTCTTTTTTTGAAGTTATGTATAGGTTAGAGTTGAAATGTTTGCTAAAAATATCGGTTTCTTTTTTATTCCCCCTCTATCTCTGATTTGTGCCAGGAATCTGTGAGATCAAAACATCCACAGCTGCATTACGAATCCAAAGTTTATATGCAAATGCAAGGCGGAAGTAAGACGATTGTTTTTATTATGTGTTCTGTTTACAAATGAAATTATACCAGTTAGTCCCTAAGTTTGCTGAATTCCTTGTCAACAACTACAGATGGTATCCCACATATGAAGTGGTACGGTGTCGCTGGGGAGCACAATGTTATGGTGATTGATCTTCTTGGCCCAAGTTTGGAGGACTTGTTCAACAGCTGCAACAGGAAATTCTCTCTCAAAACCGTCCTTATGCTTGCTGATCAAATAGTAAGTTCACCAGGCTCTAACTATGAATGAATACAAGATGCTGCAGTGCTGGGTGCTCCTAGAGTTAGTTAGGAAGAAAATCCACCTATGGAGTTTGATCACAACTTTCTTTTTTTTCTCTCCAAATCCTGTCTGGAACTTGTTCGCATATTCTTACCCATAACCCATGCAACAAAAATGTTCGAGATAATGATCATGCAAAATACACAAACTCCACCAAAGGCTAACGTGAGGAGATCGTGATCCTGAACATGATTAGGATGATTATCTAATTCTCTTCAGAAAAATGCAAAGTTAAGTCAGGCCTTTAAGAACAAGGGAGGACATTTAAATATGTGAAGCGAGAAAATTATTGATAAGCTTATCAGGCATCCATTTGTCAGGTTTAGATACTTTTCAAATATCTGACTTTTATGTTTGCCAGGTTTGCGTTGTTGACCCTTTTCTTTTTAGATAAACCGAGTGGAATACATGCATTCCAAGGGATTTATTCACCGTGATATCAAGCCAGACAATTTCCTTATCGGCTTAGGCCGGAAAGCGAACCAGGTTTGCATTATAGAGAAGTTTTTTCCAGTTACCATCTGAATATTGGCAGTGTATTTTCATACCAGGTTTTCCTTATTATTACCTCCATCTACTTTTGATAGTCATATTTTATCTTAGCACACAGACCAAGGATAAGTGATTCTACTTATCATCCATTTAAATATGCTACTAGTCATTCCTCGTAAATAAGCAATTTATTAATATTTACATTTCTCGATGCCCATGTAGCCAATCTTGTGTGGAAGAATGGAGAATCGCGCATTAAATTCAAGAAAGCCATTAAGATGATAAATTGTTGGATTGAAATATGAGTATCAAAAATAAATTTTTCAGATTTGGAAATATGACTATCAAAAGTAGATGGAGGGAGTATTACGAATAATTACCCAAAGCTTCTTATTCATAAATTAGTGTTACATTAAAAATGTACTCTTTTTATTTGTAGGTGTACATAATTGATTATGGGCTTGCTAAGAAATACAAGGATCTCCAGACCCATAAACACATTCCCTACAGGTGAACCATCATATTATTGTAGTCTAGAAATTAGAGCTGATGTTGGTTTTTTGTTGTGCTAAGTGGATGTGCTGTCAAATTTACATTGCATTTCCAGAATTAAGTAGTGCAAATTTCTGTGTATTGTCTTACATTAAAGTGCATCTGAATATTGTCTTTTTTATATAAATAGTTCCTAGTGGTATACTATGCCATGGGATGAGCAGTTGAGCACAGAGAGGGTCTGCAACTCTGCATGAATATTAATATATTATACAGGATTATATTTCACAAATATATAAACAATATTTTCTTTATATTTTCACATTCAAACTTCAGACACTATCCGTAATGGTTATTTTGTATGGTTGCATCCATTTTTCTTCTAGAATAACTGTGGTACCAAAGCTTACAAGTTTTCTAGTGGTATATTGTGCAGCACTGCATTCAAATCTGAATATTATGTCCAGGATATGTCTTCTTGTGTCAATGGATTTAAGTTGGGCCCTGATGTTTGATTTTTTTTTTTTTGGTTACTCTATACAGGGAGAACAAGAATCTGACAGGAACGGCACGTTATGCTAGTGTGAATACTCATCTTGGAATAGGTGAGCACAATAAGCAAGGCCAATATAGTTATGTTTATTCCCAAATTATGATAAAATAAAAAAAATACATTCTTATAATCCTTATTGTAAAATGAATGCACCTAATCTATTTTTAAAGTAAGCAAAAACACATTGTCTACATATACATGTACGATGTATTAATGTCTTGCAGAGCAAAGCAGGAGAGATGATCTGGAGTCTGTTGGCTATCTTCTCCTATATTTTTTAAGAGGAAGGTTAGGCTTGATATGATTCTTTGTACTTTACTATCTTGCCTATAATCTTTGAATAGTGCAACTGCTTATGCTTTTTTATTGTTCTCAGTCTTCCATGGCAGGGTCTTAAAGCTGGTACAAAGAAACAAAAATATGACAGAATCAGTGAAAAGAAAATGCTCACCCCAGCAGAGGTACTGATGCTTGCCATCACGAAGTTCGTCATTCTATTATTGGCAACTCCTAGATGCATATGCACTAAAATTGTTTTCACCAGGTTCTGTGCAAATCTTATCCATCAGAGTTCACCTCATATTTCCACTACTGTCGTTCCCTGCGATTCGAAGATAAACCAGATTACTCTTATTTGAAGAAACTCTTTCGGGATGTATTTACTCGTGAAGGTGCGCAAGTTTTTTCTTCTTTAAGCTCTGTTTTTCTTTTACTGTTTTTACCAACTGGACATCTTTTATGACTTGATGGAGGTCTAACTATAAACTATAAGTAACTGTAGGATACCAACTTGATTACATATTTGACTGGACTACAAGCAAAAATCCTCAGATGGGTTCTACCAATAAGCTTATTCAAGTAGGTGACATTTAACTTTCACTGTTATGCTTTTTTAGTAAAAGCTGGGCGTAAATTACCTCTGATCTAAAAAAAACATTTAACTTTCACCCTTTTGTGTTGTTCTGTCTAATTTTCGCTGAATTACAACTATCTTTTCTGACATCCAGCAACAAAGTGGAAGAATGATTGGAATTGGACCCTCTGTTGACCGACCAGACAAAACTTCAGGTCTATTTTCTTCTACTGAATTGCATCTGTTCCCTATCATATGAAATTACTGATTCATTTCCATACTGACTAACTTCTATTGCCAGTGGGACAAGAGATCCGGGATAGATTTACCGGTGCTGTTGAGGCCTTCGCCAGAAGAAACCCGGGTTCCGGTCGCCTCGGAGACAATTCCAGGCACAAAAGCCTCGCGGATTCCTTTGGTTCATCTACAGAAGCTGTATGTGTTAGCATTTCATCATGATAGACACTGCACATGATTTCAATCTACTATGGACATTCTCACTCTCACATTTCATGGTATCAGCCAAGAAATTGCTTTCACCGGACAAATCTCTTGTCAATTTTATTCTGATTGCATTCCATCTAACAGCCTCATCCTTTTGCTTATACTTATGATTATCCGCCAAAATTTAAATTTTCAACCTTAAATTTGGAGTTGTTTTGGGGGGTAAAAATACGTATATAAAAGTTTTTTACACAAATTATTTTTCGTTTACAAATATGTCGTTTGGCTTATTCCCCCAATAAGATTCCAAACTAGTATTGTTTGGCTTTAACCAAATTCAGTCATCCAGACATGAAACTGTAAATGCAAATGCTGAATTAGATTTCTGGAATGGGAACTTACCACTTTGTTTCGTGTGAATCAGGTTGTTGATTCGGAGAGAACACGAACCATATCCAGGAACAGGAGCTCGGCGAAGATGCCCACCGCCGCCGCCGCCGCCACCCCGTCTAGCCGGGGGACATCCTCGAAAGGCGACGGCGGCGAGCAGAACCGGGCCGGCCGGTGGGTGTCGAGCGGCAGCGGCAGCAACCGCCCGTCCCCCGCCGCCGCCCAGCGGCACCACCACCACCACCACCACTCGGCCGCCGCGGACGACAGGTCGCCGCCGGCAGCGAAGGGGGGCACCGCTATCCGGTGCTTCGAGCGCCTCTCGATCGGCGGCGAGAGGAGGAAGTGAAGTGAGCCTCCGCCGCCCACCGCCGCCTCGCGGGATTGTTCGATGTTACTCGCATGAAAACGCCGCGCGTCTCACTCACCGCTGAACCTTTCGTCTTCCCTGAGATTTTTTCCATTTCCATGTGTGTGCTATGAACACCGTGTGCATGTGCATCGCCGCCGGCGGCCGGCGGGGAGGGGATGGGCGGCGCCGCCGCCGCCGCCGCCGCCGCTCCGGGGTTTGGGGCGGCGCTCGTGAGCCGTTGGATCGGCGGTGTGCGGCCCGGATCAAGTGTTGGTCACTTTTACGGGTGGGCCCTCGTAGTATATCGTATTATCGTTTGAGCCCGTTGGGAGATGGATTTTTAGGTGAGTACTGTATATAGTCGAACTCAACCATGCCAAATACTAAAAATGAAAGATTTTGGGAATGTCAACAAAATTAGCACCAATTTGGTTAATTGGTTTGGAACAGAAATTTAGCACTACCAAAATTCATCTCTTCTATGCATATTTGAACTTTTGCAATCGTTGAAAAAAAAAAGCAACAAGCTAAATTTCAACTTTGGCCTTGTGTAGTTTCCAAAACTTTTTCCAAAAACGTCACATCGAATCTTTGGACACATGCATAGAGTATTAAATATAGTTAAATTAAAAAAACTAATTGCACAGTTTGTATGGAAATCGCGAGACGAATCTTTTGAGCCTAATTTGTCCATGATTAGCTATAAAGTGCTACAGTAACCATGCTAATGACGGATTAATCAGGCTTAATAAATTTGTCTCGCGGTTTCAAGGTGAGTTATGAAATTAGTTTTTTCATTAGTGTCCAAAAACCCCTTCCGACATCCGATCAAACATCCGATATGACACCCAAAAGTTTTCTTTTCGCGAACTAAACACGCCCTTTGCCAAAACTTTTGGCATGGCCAAATCTTATAAAAAAAAGAATTGGCAAGGCTACAATTAGTAACACCCTGCTATCGATTGAGCCTGTTTTAGAAGCTAGACGCAGTTGACAATTCACTATGGTTGGATGGTTTAAGATTAGAGTGACTATGGGATAAAACTACATTTTGATTAATATGAATTGGTTGGCGGAAACCTTGTATAATATTACTATTTGAACATGTCTCAGGAAATTGTTCTTTGCAATTAGGGATAAAAGAACAGTGATAGAAACTCCCAATTGAGCCAGCATTGTTCTATAAAAGTGATACCATTTACAATCGTTTTCTTTTCAAGCAATATATAAAGTTTGGTTTTTCTAATTTTTTCGAGAACACTCCCATCAAGCAACCGATGGGGAGATAAAATATCGGGTGTTTTCTCCACCATTTCTTATCCATTCTCTCGTCCCTTACTCTTTCTCTCTCTCCTTTCTCTCTCTGCACCTTTCCTCTTCTCTGTGAGTAGGCAATGAACTGGCATTCACAAGCAGCTCATCACTCATGGGTTGGCAGAAGAGCAAAGCCATGGTGGTGGCAGTGGCAAGGGCGTGGCCAAGCTCTGTGAGGCGATGGCCATGCAAACATGGCCGAGCTCAGCGCAGCGTGGTGTCGGCGACAATGTTGTAGAGCAGCCACAGAAGCAGGTGGTAGCGATTGTAGCGTATTTTTTTAGCCATGGTGTCATCTTTGTAGCTACACGCATGGCGTCATCCCGATGTCGATGTGGTGGTAACCACCGAAGAGGAGTTAGAGGTAGATCTGGATTTTTTTTCTCAAATATTTGATGTTTTAGCTCATGTATCTTGATGTTTCATTAGTTAGATTGGAATGTTGTCGTGGGATTTGCGATGGTGTTTCTTTTTCCCAATATATTCGGATATGTTTGATGTTTCAATATATTTTCATACACTGTAGCAATAATATTTTATTACGTGATTTGATTGTGTTTCATCATTTTCAGTATTGAAACATTTTTTATTATATACTTAAAAATATGTAATGGTGAAACAATTCTTAATTTTTAGAAAAAAAAAATCAAATGTAATCGCCCCGTATTTTTTTCTAGCACCATATTATAGTCAACACTAAATACTAAGTTGGTTAATATAAAAACTCGCGGCCAACCAAGAATCATTACTGAAAACAGTTTTCCTCCCTATTTGCAAATTGCAATCGCACCTTTGCCATCTCTTTGGTTGTGTTTAGATCTAAAGTTTAGATCCAAACTTCAGTCCTTTTCCATCACATCAACATGTCATACACACATAACTTTTTCAGTCACATCATCTCCAGTTTCAACTAAAATCTAAACTTTACGCTGAACTAACCACGGTCTAAACCCAAACATTGCTTACGCCATGCGAGCACGCACACGCTGACGCGTTTATTGTTGTTTTTGCACGAGGACAGGTCAAACGTCACAGGTAGTAAAGCGAAAAAGGTGCTGTTTCTCACGCACGCTCCTATTCTTTCAGTTTAGACAGTTGGGCCCTCATAGCTTTCCAAGTCTCACAGATTGGTCCCTGAGTAGTGAGTAGGATGAATGTACCCAAATGGTGCTGAATTTGCGAATCATGTCTGCATCGACGCATTGTTCCAATGTACAGAAGCTTGCACTGAATCAAAAACACGAGCTGATATATCAGACGTCCACCAAAAACAAAATTACAACCACACAAGCACGTATGTCCTACTCTCTAAGCCGACAAATGAAGCTCTCCATGCAGAACTGAGCTAACACTAACAGTGCCACAAGTTTATAGAGAAGCCGTTTTTTTTTTACTCACTGAATTTTCGGGCTTGTCAGGTTGATACACATCCATCTTCACATAGTTGAAGTATCAACCATCCGATATTTACAGGTGCAAATGTACTATTTTGTTTCGTATCACGAATTTGAAATGTAGGTACAGAGCAGGTCTTTGTGTAAAATGTTGGGTTACAGAGAAGTTCCCTCTTCTATGGATTTTTCAGAGCAGCCAGCCTCTTCTCGAGTTCGTCCAATTCTGAACTGTACACGAGGAAATCATAGAGTCAACAAAGTGGAAAATCATGAATAAATAGGCGAATAGATATGCAGGTGTCTGGGAAGCAATGATTCTACACTCGGTTCAGATATATCTGAAAGCTACTAATACATAATGGTTGGTGATGACTTCGTTGTATCAGCTTATAACGAATCACATTAGAATACCATGAATACAATCAAGAGACACATGTTCTAAAATTCGAAAACTAGCACACACGCTGATTTGATGATAACTAGAGTTTTCTAAGTCTGTCGCGACACATAGCTATTGATTTTTATACGATCTATTAATTCTTTTTACCAATGGCAAACAAAAAATCAGTAGGGATCTAACTAGTCATAGCAGTATAGAGTGGGAAAATACAGTAACTCTAAGTCCTTATAAAGGGGAAAAGGAAAGACAAAGTTAAGCAAACAAACAAGATGGCAAACAAACAAGATGGTCAAAATCCTGGATCCAGCGTACCTTTCATCAGCTTGAACCTTCTTTCCAGTAATCCTTCCTTTAGGAGCTGAGGATAACTGTGAAGAGGAAAAGGATAAGAAAAAACTAAAACTACCTAAAAAAGAAAAGAAAACAGACTAAAGAACTGAGATAGTAACTTCAACTACCTGTGAGGCAATATCAACACCAATCTCATCCAGGACCTAAAAAACATAGACAAGAAATGATGAAAAATCAAATTCAAGGCATAGGGCTTATGGAAGGGGAAAAAGACGGAAGGGTAGCATTTCAAAAAGATTCTAGCAATTTGGTCTGGAAATAGGAATTGAAAATGACCTGATTTGCAAGGTCTTCAGTTTCTTCCTCAGCTTGATCATCGTCTAAGATATTGTCAATGGAGTCAGACATCATCTCATTCTGCTCAAAGAATAAAGAAAGTCAATGCATAACTTTCTACATACAGGTGCTATCACCGTTTAATTTTGTCTTACAACAAACAACCAAAGCTGTTAAGAACATAGAAAGTTAAGAGTACCGTCATATCCATTTGTGCTGACTGTTTTTGGAATTCTTGCATCACCTTCATCTGTTTGGCTGGATCCATTTGCTGCAAATAAAAACAAAATGAGATGAAAAAGTCATACTCATTAGAAGACATGTATTAAAGTCATATCAGGCAACCCAGGTTAAATTCAGAAGTATCGAGCAGCACAGGTCAAAATTCAATTGCACTGAAAAGAAGTTAATAACATATGGAGGACACAAGAGAAAGATTAATATTAAGTTGGTTCTTGTATAAACTCCATACTTGAATATTCAAGTTTGTGCTATAATGATGTCCGATGCACATAATCTTGGTGTGTTATTACCTTGTTCAAAGCTCCCATTGCTTTGCTTGCACTTTGCATGCCAGCAGCCACTGAAGTGTTGGCATGCATTGCCTATGGACAAAATTCAACATAAAAGATAAAAAATGTTAACCCCGTTATGTTGGAACGAAAGAAGCAAAAAGGGGAAACAAACATTTCACCTGTGTATGTGTTGCAATGCCCCTAATCTGAGCTCTGCTACCTTGTAAATTAGAAATTTGCTGTCTTAGCCTGATCAGCTGGCGGGCCAGAATTCTGGTTGCTGCCTATAAAAGAGATGGAAATCACAAAAAGATATGAGCCACCGTATGATCTGAGACCAAAATTATTGTGCTGAAACTGAAACATAAGAACAAAGACCTCATTGCCAGTTTTTGCAGTCCTTTTGATTTCAGCAACTAGCCTCTTTTCCTGTTGATTGAAAAAAAAATAAACTAGTGATGCTACTGATTCAATTTTCATCCTAAAAATTCCATGTTAAGATTGACAATGATAAGACATATTATTGACAGTGAATTGATTAAGCATACATCTCAGCTTATAAAAACTTGGTTTCGTTTCAATGCAAAACAAATTCTCAGATGAATCTGAACACACAAGACTATTTACAAACTAGCAAATATTCTAGGCATTTTTTCTCATTAGTTAGACAACTTAAGGGGTGTGGCTACAGATGCATACCTCTAGCTGCAACGTTCCAATATCTCTCTCAATACCTTCAGATGAAATGCCAACAAATTAGATTCTCCAGAAACGAGAATATGCAGGAGGAACTGTCCATATTTAATTTCAAGGAGAGCAAGTAGTTCAAGGCAGCCTCCTCAACCATCAAATCCTCGTGGTTGATAACTAGCCCTAGATTAGATTTCCCTATACCAACTTATTCACGTTTCATGCATGTTTCAGTTTAAGTTTGGTAACAATAACATCAACTCCTCAAAATCTCAAAACATTTTCCAGCAAACATCCCAAATCAACAACACAGCTTACTTAAAGCAATATGCTATCCCCACAGAAAAGCTGCATTTAACCCTTATAGCGACGATCAGAAATAAATGGATGCAGCGAGCCAGCTTTTGATTCAACACGCACTAGAAGCAAAACTGCAGCTAGCCTAGCATATGTAGATCGATATGTTCCAAAACACCAATTGAATCAAAAGCAAAACTGCAGCTAGCCTAGCATATGTAGATCGATATGTGCCAGAGAAGTAATCGATATGTAAAGCAAAAACACGATTACTTCTCTGGCACAACAACGAGTGTGCTGGAAAAAAAGGAATCGATCAAACCAATCACCTCTGGTAGCATTCGTCAGCTCACGTTTGCTGCTCCGGATCGCCTCTGCACAGTCAAAAAAAAACCGCCCAAAATTAGAGCTCGGAGCACATCGACCACACCGATCGGAATAGAAACAACCCCCTAGGGATCCCCCCGAAGCGAGGCGGATCAATCCGAATTCGAGCTAAGCGCCGCGAATTCGATCGAATTTTTTGGTCGTCGGGGATCGAGTTGGGGGGTGGGGAGGAACGAGACGATCGTCGCACCTCGCGGCGTGGGCTTCTTCGCGAAGGGGTTCATCTCCGCCGCGGCGCCGGCGGTGTGCTTGCTCGTCGCCGGGGAGGGAGCGGAGGAGATGGCGGTGGGGGAAGCCGCGTTGGGGGGGGGGGGGGGGTGGAGTTTAGTTTATTGGATTTTCTCCCCAACTTTTTTTTCCTGGTAGTTGCGCGGAAGGGCTAAAGCTAACCGCCGCGGGGGCAAAAGCCTTTCGTTCTTTTGCTTAACCGCGGACCGCGCGAGGGATCAGGGATGCACTAAAAGAGAGGTTGAATGGTCAACTGGGTCATAACTAAAGTCAGTCAATTATAATATTTTTGGGATTTTAGGATTGGAAAAGTCTATACGTACTAATTTTTTCTTACTAAATTTTTACTAACACTGACATGTCATGCTACGAGTCCATCTAGATTTTTTATTTTATAACTTCTATCTGGTTAAATCAAACGGTTGAGATGATTGTTAGTACAAATTTAGTAAGAAAAAATTAGTACGTGTAACAGTGCTCTTTAGGATTTATGCTATGCGTATCTGACGTTTTTTCTAATGTCATGTCATATCAGACGGTGACGAGACTTAATATAGATATTGAGGTGGCGTTCGTTTGTTGATAAAGATGAAGATTTTTACACAAAATAAGGTGGTATTAACGTATGATTGATTGAGTTTTAATTATTATAAACTTGAAAAATAGATTAATATGATATTTTAGAGCAACTTTCATATAGAAAGTTTTCGCACAAAACACATCATTTAGCAGTTTGAAAAGCGTGCCACGGAAATCTTAATCTTCATCCAACTCTTGTTGGAGAAAAGAACGGGACCTGAGAGATATAGGGGGTGTTTAGATCCAGGGTGTAAAGTTTTGGCGTGTCACATCAGGTATTATACAAAATGTCGCATAGGGTGTCCGGGCACTAATAAAAAACTAATTACACAATCCGTCAGTAAACCATGAGACGAATTTATTAAGCCTAATTAATCCGCCATTAGCAAACGTTTACTGTAGCACCACATTGTCAAATCATTGAGCAATTAGGCTTAAAAGATTCGTCTCGCAAATTAGTCGCAATATGTACAATCAATTTTTTTCCTATATTTAATACTTCATGCATGTGATCAAACGTTCGATGTGACAGGGTGAAAAATTTTAGAGTGGGATCTAAACTGGACCATATGAGAACAATATATATAGGCGTGGTTTAGATTCCACCCTAAAATTTTTCACCCTGTCACATTAAACGTTTGAACACCTATATGAAGTATCGAATACAAACTAAAAAAATAATTAATTGTACATATTGAGACTAATTTGCGGGACGAATCTTTTAAGCCTAATTGCTCCATGATTTGACAACATTGTCATTTTAACAAAATTCTGGCATTGCTAAAACTTAGTAAGGTTTATTTTGGCTACAATCTGAACAGTCCCTTACTAATATGCAGATATATCGTTTACTACGTAATGACATGTACTCGAGACCTATTTGGATATGTGAGTATAGCTACAATATCTTTGATAATAGTAGAGAAACTAAATTAAAATGGCCATCAATTGGTCTGATTGACGCACACCGATTTCCTTTTGTTTATCAAAAAGCCATGCAGGTAGTATTTGAAACAGATTATTTACCAGCTCATTGCGATAGAAATTATTGGAAAACGAAGCGCTGCTGGAGATGGTGTGATCTGTCTCTAAAACGCAACCATTCTTTTTTTTACTTCGGTTTGAACCACCAGGATTCACTAAATCAGGCATCCAAAAACATTCCTTATTTTTTTTTCTTAAAATCACCACAAACCACCAAGATTTGAAGTTCGAACTAAACAAACCCTATGAAACATGAGAAACTTTCATCTCAGAAATAAGAAACACTGATGAAACTGTTCAGTTCAACCGAATCTGAAGTTTTCACAGAACAGAGACACTAGCAGAGAACTAGACGAGAGAACCAAAGAAGAGCATATCACATCAGAAATGGAGCGATGAGATCACGCCATCTGTCGGCCAAGTGCAATCGACGGCGAGGATGTGGCAGTGTCAATGGCAGTGGTCGAAGCAGAACTCCTCCCGGGCGCCGCACGAGCAGGTCACGCTCACCACCACCTCGCCGCCGGCGCAGGCCACCGCCGCCGCCGCCGCCGCCGCGGTGGTGGCGCCCTCTCCGCCGCCCATCCTGGAGGACGCTCGCGCCTCCCGCTCCTGGAGATGGGCAAGAGAACGGCGACGTGTGGAGCAATCAAGATTCAAGAACAGGGGGGATAGAAAGAGGAGATCGGTGCAGACGATTCGAACCTGGTTGGTCGCCTTCGCCGGCGAGGTGAGGAACGTGCAGCACGTGGTGGCCGCCGACGAGGACAGGGTGGCGCCACGGGAGGGCTCGCCGGTGGCCGGGGCTAGTACCGTCTTGGTGACCTTCTGCGGCGGCGGCGGCAGGGTGATCTGCAGCTGCTCGTCGCGCGGCGGCTGCGGGCTCGTACGGCCCTCGGCTGCGGCGTGGGCGAGGCGGCGTGACCAGAGGGTGCTGCTCCGGGACTTCCGCGCCGGCGACGACGAGATGGTGTACGGCGGCGCGACGAGACCACCATCGCCGATAATCTGAGATGGCTCCTTAGCCGCCGCAGACGCTGGGGAACCAGCCGGCCCGGACACCAGATTCGGAGGAGCCGAGAACGGGGCACCGCTGCGGGTGGTGTCGCCGGCGGTGCGCTCTGGCTCCGGCGAACGGAAGAACGCGAATCCGCCCCCATCGTTGGCGCTCCTGGTCGCCGGCCTCGGGGAAGCCAAGAACGCGGAGGCGCCAATGCCGTTGGACTTGGAGCCCATGGGGGTGAGCGACGACGACGGATCAGGGGGCAAGAACCCGGATCCCGCGCCGCCGCAGCTGGCGGTGGATCCCATGGGCGTCAACGGCTGCTGCTGCTTCGGCGACGCGGCCAAGAACGCGAACGCGAACGCGGCGCCGCTCCCGCTGGACACCGATGGCGGCGCCAACACCCTCTCCGCCATAGCGGAGAACGACGAACCCCCACCGCCTCCGCCTCCGCCTCCGCTCCCGCCGGTCCTCGTCGACCGATCACCCCCCGACGAGAGAGCCCCCGGGGAGGCGCTCCCCGGCGCGGGCGCGGTCGGCGTGGAGGCGAAGGGCGGGAGCTCCAGCAGCATCCTCTTGCGCGGGGAGAAGGGCGGGAAGAGGCAGCGGCGCTTGCGGCCGACGGCGCAGGGGTCGGAGAAGGCGACCGGCGACTGGTCGGCGCCGTCGACGCGGAGCTCGGCGAGGTGGTGCGCCTGCGGCGTGCGGAAGAGGGAGAGGGAGGCGGCGGCCACCTCCATGGCTAGCTGGGTGCTCTCTTGGCTCGCGCTCGCGGCTGCCTCCTCCTCAGGTTGTTGGGTTAGTTGTTGTTGCGGCTCTCTTGGCTCGCTTTTTGTAGCTTTGAGGTGACGATTCTGGATCACGGGCAGCCGTCGGATCAGTAAAGATCGGCTCCGATTCGATGCTAGAACAATTCGTTTCTTTTGAACAATGTTATCGGGTGTAGCATTTCTGGCTTGTTTCTTTTCCTTTCAACTTTACTCTTGGAAGTAAAAGAAGTTGTGAAATGTGAATATCTCATTGAAGGCATGTTTTCTCAAATAGTCGGGAATAGGAAACATGTTGATTCATGAATGAAAGTAGAAATATAAAGTTTTAGCGTAAAAAGTTGCGAGAAGTATTTTAGAGTATGTTTAAGCTCAATTGTCTTGTTCAGTCGTTAAATCATACATGTGTGTACGATGTAGTTTGTTTGATAAGTATTTTAATGCTTGTTTAGTTCCAGTTGTATTGATTTAATTGCTTGTTTGTCAAAGAACGCGAAATGTACTTTTGCTCTATGCTACTACCCAATCTTCTCGTCATAAGATTCGGATACACCGTGCAACTCGACGAACTAGATGAATAACACATTATCTGTGCAACATGGCTTTCACCTTGAATTCGCACAACCACACGTTATATTGATCATCTCATCTAAAAAATATTCGTAGCAAATAGTGTTGTTGTTCTTCTCGAAGGATTTGTGCCGCCATCACCATACTAGAGTTAGGGATTGTGAGTTGTTATCATAGATAATTCTTACTTTACTTTTCAGGAAATTGAGAGAGCAATAGATTCATTTTATTTTTCCGTGTTCGAGAAGATCAACCTATATATAGTGTGTTTTTTTGCGAATTCATATCGAATGTTGTGTGTTGCATGTGAAAAATGTTGTTCATTCAATTTGCCAGGATTTCATAGTGTATTCGGATCCTACATTAAAAAAACCGGATGCCCTGTATTGTAAATGAATGGTCGGGTTCACTTGTTGAGCAACAAACCACACAATGAAATGTGATACATTTGCGCTTGGTTACTCTAGTTTATCACTCCAACATGAAAACTACGACTAATTTTATGGCATTAGCTTTTTTTTAACAGTAAGTATATTTTATATGTTACATTTGGTCGGTTATCTATATCTATACTATTATAAAAATTGAAGATATTTCCGTGGTCCGTCATTCGTGTTTGAGTCGGTTATAAAAATTGAAGATGTTTCCGTGGTTCGTCATCCGTATTTAAGTCGGTTTCAATTTTATGTTTTGGTTTTAATCTATATCTATTCTCTATCTCTATCTCTATCTCTACTATTATAAAAACTGAAGATGTGTTTGCCGGTATTTTGGTACGTCATCCGTGTATGAGTCGGTTTTTAAGCTCATTTGCTTTTGGAAATATACATCCGCATTTGAGTCAGTTTTTAAGGTTGTTCACTTTTGGTAATACAGAAGGAATCATATAAAAATTTTGGTTTAAAAAACTCGCATGCTAACTTGAGACGATCGGACTCCTAACTACAGCTCATGATTTTCTAAAAATATATATATCCAAGTGAACTCCCACAGTGAATTTCATCTTAACTAAACTATATAACAATAATAAGATTAAAATAGATTTCACTCGTTGCAACGCACGGGCATTTTTCCTAGTAAAGTTTAATTTGTAAACGTGCAATACCACGTGTTGTATTGGTCCACTAACTTAGATCAGACATAATCATTCCCCTTTTTACTCTTCATACCATCCATACTTATCTCATGACTCCAACGGCATAATTTTAAAAACTGTACAGAGCAAGAAAAATACGGACAACACACGTGAGCATCTCATAAAACAACTTCCAAATTAGGCTAGCAAATCTGTTGGTGCCATCCATCCGTTGCAACGCACGGGCATTTTTTCTAGTAAAGTTTAATTTGTAAACGTGCAATACCACATGTTGTATTGGTCTACTAACTTAGATCAAACATAATCATTCCTTTTTTTACTCTTCATACCATCCATATTTATCTCAGAACTCCAACGGCATAATTTTAAAAACTGAACAGAGCAAGAAAAATACGGCCAACACACGTGACCATCTCATAAAAACTTCCAAATTAGGCCAGCAAATCCGTTGGCGCCATCCATCGCCAAACCCACCCGAATAATTCATATCTATTTCATTTAAACCCTCAAACCTCAATGTAATAGCAGCAAACATAAACAAAACAATACTACTTATAACTTATAATGTTTATATTCTTTGACGACGAGATCTATAATAGTTTTCGTTTCGAATCGAACGAAACTTAGGATTTGAAACTTAAACCAAGAACTTATAACTTAATGTTTAGATTCTTTGATGACGAGATCTATAATAGTTTTAGTTTCAAATCGAATTTGAAACTTAAACCAAGAGATCCAGGGGGTTACCTGCATTTTGAGAGCCTCTCTCCTCTCATGGGTTGCATTAGCAAAAGCCTAAACCAAACCGAAAGTGCCATCCAAAAGACGATTTTATTTTGCCCTCCGCTTGCTATATCGACGCCCACCATCTCCACCACCATCGCTCCGCTTCTCCTCTCCCATCTCTCGCTTCGCTCCGCTTGCCTAGGGTTTCGCCTCCCGCCGGCAGCCGCGCCCCCGCCGCCCTCGCCTCAGATCCCGCCGCCGGCGACCCCCCCACGATCCTCCTCCCCCGCCGCCCGCCGATCCCGTCGAGCTCCGGTTCGGTGTTTGCTCCCCTACTCCGCCGCCGCGACGCCTCGGGCTTGCAGAGTCTGGGCGGGCGCCGCGGGGGGAGTGCAGATCTAGGGTTTGGGGGCTCTGGCTGGTGCATGAGAAGGGCACTGGAGTACGGACGGCATGGAGGTGGAGGCGGCGAGGAGGGACGCGGCCACGCTGGACCCGGAGCTGCTGCAGCTGCCGGAGCTCTCGCCTGGCGCGCTCCGGGAGAACCCCGCCCTTGCTGAGGCGCTCTACTCGCAGTGGCTCGCGCTCCCCGAGACATCCAAGCTGGTAGCGGCCTCATGCCCCCTCACTCCTCCCCCCATCTCGTTGCTGGTCTGTTGCTTTGGATTTCGTTCGTAGATTGGCGTGGCTCGTGCGTGGATTTTTGCGTGGCCTGTGTGATCTCGTGCTGGAACTCGTGAGAGGTGTCGTTTGGAGTGCTTCGCTTGGTGCCTCTTCTCTTTTTCTTTTTCGTCTGTAGTGGTTTAGACTGTCGTGATCGTATTATGCTTGCGAGCATGAGTTGGGGATGCAGTATACCGGGGGTTTTGGTAGATCAAACGGCTTGGTTCGGTGAATTTTATCTAGTAATTATATAAGTTGCTTGCCCTGTAGGCTGTAGCTCGTTTAGATGGTCCGGATTATCCTTGTTTCCATATAACCTTGCATGTTTGTGATCTCCTGTTTGGAACCTGCCAAGATGCAGTTAGGTGGCATGAATACTGAAAGTTTTACTTTGCTTGTTTCTTAATTGCTGTAGCGTGAGGTCTTGACCAGTACGGAATATGTAGTTTAGTGACTTCGCAAGTCGAAAACTCGAAATGGCAGTTGCTAGCTAATTATTTGGTCTATCTATTGATTTAAGCCAAAAGAATCTTGGCACAAATCAAGATGATGTGTTAGTCCAGGAGTCGTACTATCTAGTTTTGGGTTGTTTGAACTTCGAACCAGCTCACTGTGGCCTTATGAGCTATCTTTGCTGTTGATAAATACGTGATAATCAAGGAGATGGTATGTTTCTGCGATAAGTGAGTGTTGTGTTGGTCTGCAGTTTAGCAGAATGTTGAATTCTAAGAAGCGTATGTACAGAGTTTCTTCATTGAGTTCGATTTTGCAGCTGTATGATCTGCTAAAAATACTAGCTTACACTATCTGTTTTTTCTTTCTTGGCGTACTTTGGATGGTACCTGTGATTGTAAGTTAGTATATTGTTTTCACCAATCAGTTTGCTTTTGCAGTAGTATGCTGTGTTAAAAAAAACTAGCTTAAACGATCAGTATATTCTTTCTATAAGTTGTATATTGTTCCAAAAAAAAAACTAGCTTACACTACCAGTTTCTTCTTTCTTGGTTTACTTTTAATGGTACCTATAAGCTGTAACTGTTATATCTTTGTTCGTTGCAATCTGTGTGTGCCTTGGTTGATGACTGATATGAATGCCCTGGATTTTTGAGTGAGAGGAGCTGTCATATCTATTGATTGGCTATCTTTTAGTGTCCCGTCGGTTGCTAAATTTATCTGCACTTGTATAGATATTTTGCCTTAATGATTTTTCAAGGGAACATATGCAACAACAGATTGTACAGGTCAAACCGTGTGATAATGACAATACATATATTTTACCTAACAGCATTTCCAGAAGTAAATGTTGTTGGCACATTGATTACCAGCAACTTACTCTGTTTTGAATTCTTAAATTCTATTTGCCCGCAAGATAAGTCCATGATAAAAAATGTGGATGTTCATTTGCAGATAGAACAGTGGTAGTAACATTGTTAAGAAGATGCATGGTAATGTGGCACCTTAGGAAAAATAACTCGTGTTGACAGTATCATGCATGATTGCAATCTGAGTAGGATTATCATTTATCAATGGCTCAATGTGTAGCCAGTTTATACCACTGTGGTATTACTGGCCTTTCCTAACTATGCTAATGTTTCTTCTTGTTTTGCTTCACTTTGTTATGTGGAATGGCTTCTTTCAAGTACTTTTTTTATGTTATCTTATATATGAGTCTCTTCCTTTTTGCACAGCTGTGCTTGGTATGTTTTCAATGTTCATGCTGTACTATTCATAGTGTTACTGGGACAAGCGAGCTGGTTTTCTTTTTAACTGTATCTGACTAGGTACGGTACATATCTATGGGAGTCCAAGTTGCAGCTGATCCGTGCTACCATATATATATATTTCTACTGCTTTACCAACTATTTTGTGTTATTTGATAAAAATATATATAATAATTAAATTTAAAATTATATACATTAGACGAATCCTTGAATCCTTTTTCTTAAAGCTTGCTGAATGGGCAGTAGAATTTAAGTCGGATTTTGGCACCTATGTCACTGGTAACACAGAGTCATACACATTCTTAAGCAACGGACATCCATTTTTGAAGTACAATGTTTGGATTTCTTTGTGATTATTCATTATTAGCATTGTGCATAGCATAAAAATGGGTGGACATACTGAATTATTGATGAAGCTATGCATGAGGATGTCACAGGGACATGGAATTCTGAAATGTTGGATTCCAGGTTATACAAAACATAGTTTCATATGTTCATAGCAATATATTTCCATATTTTGGAAAGTAAAATTGTATCTGATTCTTTTGGTGAAGAATCATGATAATTTGTTTATTTAGAACACATGATTAATTTGTACAATGTGATTATGGGCAATGCATCATCCTTACAAAATTTATTGTTCATGCCTGGCTGCCAGGTGAACTCTTTGATTGAAGATGCAAAAGCTGGTGCTACATTGAATGTTACTGGGAGCTCTGCTAGCACAAATGCTGCTTCAAGTGGTTCTTTGCCATCAATGTTTCCGGCTGGTAGTGCTCCTCCCCTTTCTCCTAGAAGCACTTCTGGCTCCCCCCGTGTTATGAGGCGAGGATCTGGAGCTGGACCATCATCCTTGGGATCTCCACTAAAAGTAGTTAGTGAACCAGTGAGGGAGGTTATACCCCAGGTACTTCTTATCTATTTTTGCAGTTAGTATTATTGTTGCGTTATTTCTGTTTGTCATCATTCGACCATATATTTATTTCTAATACTTCTTTGCATGCTATATGTTTTCAGTTTTACTTCAAATATGGGCGCCCTGCTCCAAAAGATTTGAAGGAGCAATGCTTATCTAGAATAGATCACCTCTTTTTTGCAGGGGAGGGACTCCAGATTCAAGGTGATTGCTTTGAGGATTTCATTTCTTGATTTTACGCATTAAAAATACATTTCTAAGTTTGAATATTATATTTCTCCATATCAGAATTTAGATCAGTCACAAAAGATATATGCAAACTTCCATCGTTCTTCTCCAGTGTTCTTTTCAAGAAGATCGATGCTGCAGGCTCTGGAACTGTCACAAGGTATATTGTTCATTTCAATATCTGTGTCGATGCAATATAATGGCATCATTGGCATGTGCTAGAAGTTTATGGACCTTAGCTGTTAATCTGTTATCATGTTTGGAAGACACGATCAATATTTTGTAGATGGACTGTTATGTTATAGCATAATTGTTCATTCCACAGGCTGTTCAAATTCTATACACTGCTTCATGGTGAAGCAATATCTGTGTTGATTTTGTTCTATTTACGTGGTTCTTTGTACTTGGAACTCAATCTGTTATACCTAGAAGTAAGGTATTCTTGGTTGGATCCTTCATTGCACAATTGGCTTTCTGAATCTGTTAGCTCGTGCTACTTTTCACTTGTCCTGGCTTTTGCCAGGAAATACAACATTCCAGACTATTTTAAGATATTATAAATACCAGTTTTGATAACCATCCTTATGTGTTATTCTATGGGCATGATATTTGATCCTTCATTAGTAACTCTTAATTTTTATGCCACTAGAATGTGCTTTGGCACCATGTGTTTCTTATGTACCTCATTATATTTGCTTTGTAATTGTTTTTGTAACTGGACTAGATTATCATATACCCTTAGCTTTAACGGTTGAATTTATTGATAACTACACATGAAGTGTTTCATATGTATTATTAAACAAATTTTGAACAATTTCATTTGTTTTTCTGGCTCATGCAGTCTAGCGGTGTTATGATAACTAGAGTTCTGATGTAAAATATCCCAGTTCACAAGTTTATCTCAGCCCCACTGCGCTGTTGAAGTCCTGAAACTTGAATTTAAGTGTACTTCCCATACATGTAGATGATTCCCCTTTGATGCATGTAGATGATTCCCCTTTGATCTTCATACTAAAATCTAATGTTTTCAGATTTGACATGGGTAAAGTATGAATTTATTTATATATTCAGGGATGCGTTTGTTGATTACTGGATCAATGATAACAAGATTACAATGGACACAGCTAGCCAAATCTTTGAAATATTAAGAAAGCCGGATTACAATTATCTCACTCAGGTATGTAATTCTTGTGCTGGTTCTTTGTACCCTCACACCAGTATATTCGACTACAATTGGCAAAGATGTTCTTATATGTTGCTCATTTTCTTTGATGGGATCACTAGTTTGTAATTTCATTGATTTTGTGTAATTCCCACAGGAGGACTTTAAGCCTGTCTTAAAAGAACTTCTGGCAACTCACCCTGGATTAGAGTTCTTGCAAGGCACCCCTGAGTTTCAGGAGAGATATGGTACTTTCTGCCATCCAGTAGCAATGTTGTTGTGTATCTCTCGTTCATTTTGGTGACAATCAAAATACTGATTTTCTTCTCATATAGTGATGTATGACACTGAATTTTTTTAGTAGTGTATGGTGAATGTTGATATGTAAAAATATAGGCATGTGTGTGTTCTAACTAGAGATTGCCATAGTAAAAAACAACTAGCTATTGATTATTTTATGAGGATTCTACGATTGGACCTGGTCAATGACTATTGGTAGTGATTTGCTGGATGCCTGCATCTCATTCATCTGCTAATCGTTTATTATGTAATTTTCAGCTGAGACTGTAATATACAGAATCTTTTATTCCATAAATAGAGCTGGAAATGGCCATCTTACCCTCAGAGAGCTAAAACGTGGGAATTTAATTGCTGCGATGCAGCAGCTGGATGAGGAAGAGGATATCAATAAAGTGTTGAGGTAATTAACATATTTGATTGTTAATGTATCTGCGATATCCATTCTTGCATGCATTTGCAATATATCTTAGCAGAATGGTGGCACTGATTATAATAATATTAATAATTGTGATTTAATTCCTTACATGTATTTTTGTTGTTACCTGTAATAATCTATTACTGGGTCCTGGGGATCCTCACGAATTACTTGGATTCAAGTTATATTATTTATGTGCGAATCAAACAAGATTTTTTACATTTTTTTTCCAAATGTGTTAATTTTCTGATGCCTAATGCAGATACTTCTCATACGAGCACTTTTATGTGATATACTGCAAATTTTGGGAGTTGGACACAGATCATGATTTTTTGATTGATAAAGAGAACCTTATCAGATATGGAAATCATTCATTAACCTACCGAATCGTTGATAGAATCTTCTCACAGGTTAGTATGTTCTATTCTGCATACAGAACTGAGATGCTGCCTTAGTTGGCCTAAATGTTGTTTCCTATATGTTACTTAGGTCCCAAGAAAATTCACAAGCATGACAGAAGGAAAGATGGGTTATGAAGATTTTGTTTACTTTATTTTGTCTGAGGAAGACAAATCATCCGAGCCTAGCCTTGAATACTGGTAAGTATGTTCTATTAGCGTAGATAATTGTCCTTGGTAGGCACTCGTAGTTTTTATCTTCTATATGCATTTGTATATTCTGTCTCACTTAGCTTGATTAAGCTATCACTATCACTGTTTAATTTCGAGTGCAAATGTGTGGTGGAACCAGCTATTGTCCTGTTTTATGTCCAGGCATTGAAGACTACAGTGAACTCAAAGATTTTTATTTTTACAGCACACTTTGTTTTGCAGAATTTTAAGTAACAAACAAATTTCCAAATAAGATATTTTTGGATACAACTTATGCATCTACTTTTAACTGGTATGGGGCTAGCAAGGAGCTTGCCTATTGAGTTTTGCCTTACAGTGGCTTTAATATTGTAGTATATTTTACAACTAATTATGTTACTGTATTCATTGAACATATGAACCAATTTTACAGGTTTAAGTGTATTGACCTTGATGGAAATGGCATTTTAACCACCACTGAAATGCAATTTTTCTATGAGGAGCAATTGCACCGGATGGAGTGCATGGCACAAGAACCTGTGCTTTTTGAGGACATATTATGCCAGATGATTGATATGATTGGACCAGAGGTAGCATCTTGGACAGAATTATTGATGCATTTTAGGCCTGTTTGGAACAGTGGAATGTCAGCATGTTGAGGAATTGCACCATTTAATGCAAAATTCCTGTGTTCCAAACAAGTCCTTAAACTGAATTTGATAAATCTTTTCTTTTCCACAGAACGAGTGCTACTTTACACTACGGGACTTAAAACGGTGTAAACTCTCAGGGAATATATTCAACATCCTATTCAATCTCAACAAATTTATGGCATTTGAAACTCGTGATCCATTCCTCATTCGCCAGGTGATCACAACTTCTTGCCATAAAGCAGTGAATTCACTGTTAATCATCTAAATAACAAGTTGGATCATCTTTTTATTTCAGGAACGTGAAAATCCAACTTTAACCGAGTGGGATCGGTTCGCACATAGAGAGTATATTAGATTGTCCATGGAAGAAGATGGTGAAGATGCTTCAAATGGAAGTGGTGATGTGTGGGATGAATCGCTTGAAGCTCCATTTTGAAATATGTGAGTGTTCCTCTCTGCTGTTGTTTGTAAATGGAACCATTTATCTATATAATAACTTAATACCAAAATTTGTCAGAATTTAGATTTTTGATTCTGATCTTTAAAGAAAAGAAAGTTTAAACCTTACTGTATGTGGTTAATATGCCAAATCAGAGATTTGATTTTTTTTTAAATAAACGTAGCAATATTTTTGTTGGCCTTTTGAAACCGTTGTTTCATGTTTGCATCTTATCTTTTAACAGCTCTTGCTGGCTGAATCTTGTGGGACATGGATGGAATTGGTTTGGAGGTCAAAGAAATGTAAAGTTGTTCGCTAGCCTGTGGAGACCATTGCAGGCTTGAGGAAGTTTCAGTAACACCAAAGACTTCTTACAGGATTTACTGTGCAGGTCTGATTCGATAGTATCGGTTGTCCAGTTGTGCAAAACATTTTTGCTTGGCAGGAGAAACGAGGAAGTTGATGTGGGCGTCCTGCCTTGTCAAGGCAACAACCTCAACAGTCTCAAGTGATGCTATAGTGGGGGACCTTTCATGGTCAACATGTTTCTGTGTTCTTATTGGTGCTTTAGGGGGGGATGTCGGTTTATTCAATTGCTGTGCTCAAATTTTGGAGCTGAACTGTTATTGTTTGGCTGCCATTTTCTTTGTTATTTTGTGGAAGTGCGAGCAAGCAATTCCATCATTAACTTTGATCATGGTATGTAGCTTTCTGGTTCTGCTTTCTGTTCAGTATGGTGTTTTGTAGCTGTTGCCGTCACTGGGTACATTTTGGGAGGTAAGGTAAAAAGACCTCAGGATATGGATATCTGTTGTCATTACCCATTTGTAACATTAACAAGAAACGGTGGATGGGTGCATAAGAAATTTAAATGAGGATGTAGGTTCCATCATCAACCCAGTTTCTGCCTTGAGTTGAGACTTCAGGGGATGCTTTAGTTTTCCCACACTGGCGTTTTAAGTTTGTGCCATTATTTGCAATGCCTTCTTGCTGAAATTTGATTTCCCTCATGTCCAATGCATCTAAATCAGTAGGGACTGATCATCCCCCTTATCCGGTATGCTGAAACCTTTAGCATATTGCCTAATTCACCCGTGTCATTTTTGTTTGTCATGCTTGGTAGATATGCCGATTTGTGGGACTGTAATTCAACTTTGCATATGTTAAGGTACTCTGATTGTTCAATCTGGGGGTACACATTCTTCAGCGCTGTGATGTTGCCACTACTGTACATAGACTGGATCACAGGGCACCAGTGAACGGTTGTCCTACCACATAGAGATACTCGGTAATGTGCAAGTAGGAAGTATATGATAAAGTTATTTGCGTAGAAATTATGTAATACTACCTCAATTGTGATAAAGACGTCATGGAGGTACTCATGTGTGGTACTCCAGAATTGCCTAAAGTAATAAAACTACAGTATACAGGCTTCCTCTGTGATGCCGGTGGGTCTTCATGGGAATGTTTTGAAACATACTCCCTCCGTCCCAGAATATAACAACCTAGGATGGGATGTGATCCAGATATATTGTCTTAGGATAGGTCTTATTCCATCCTAGGTTGCTATATTATGGGACAAAGGGAGTAGCTTATAGTGGCATTCGCCGGAACAAGGATTCCTTAACCCAAATTAACATGAACATGTAAAACATTCCAACATGGTAACTTGACATTTCAGAAAGCTAAATTAGTTACAGACCCTCGACATCCTGTTTGCATGATGTAGGGCGGCCTTGGTAATCCAATTCTGCGCCTAAGCTTTACTGTGATAGCCCTGAATTTCAGTCTTATCTTATCCATTATATCTTGGACTTGTTCATCTTCTGATTGGATAACGGATAGCATCTTACTATTTCCTTTGAAATTTCTATGGAATGAATAATTTTAAAGTGATTTTGAAGTAAAGTTAGTAAGAGCTCTAATATTTTAGAAAGTTTGTTTTTAGTTTCTCATCATATTCTTGTGTGTTTTTTTCATGGTCTATTCAAACTATTGTTCCTTTTTTTTTGTTTTGTAATCCTTTGTTTTGCAATTTTATTTCAATTAAATTCCGTGTTTTTATATTTTTTTACTGATTTTTCAATGTTTTAAGGAGCACTAAGATTATCGATAGGTTCAAGAAAATCAATAACATCATTAGGTTTCTGATCTATAGTACGAAAAAGAACTACTACATCCGTCCCATAAAAATTGTATTTATAGCTAATTTAGGATAAAATAGTAGGATTGGAAAATGACCACAATAACCTTATTTAATGAATCCACTGCATGCACACGTTCCATATATACAAATGATTAAAAGGAAGTTTGAGAGAATTAACCCATATAATTAGCATACTTAATAAAATTACAAGCATTAGCAGCCTAAATTATGTGGGATGGAAGGAAACTTATACAGATGAATCAATTGGTTGGGCCCCACATGGCTAGAAATACAATTTTTGTGGAACAAAGCCTTGGAGCTAGAAATGTAATTTTTATGGAACGGAGGGAGTAAAAGAGGTTGTGGTAAGCGGCTCCAAATATGGATTCCAAGAAAAATGCTTCATAGGTTAAGAAAAAGGTTAATTGGACTCATGCCATAAATATGTCACTACTGTTCGCGTAATTGGAACCATACCATTGCTACTTGTTTGTAATCTGGTGCCACTAACATACCCCTCCATTTCAGGTTATAAGACTTTCTAGCATTGTCCACATTCATATAGATGTTAATAAATCTAGGCGCACATATATGTCTAGATTCATTAACATATATATGAATGTGGGTAATGTTCGAAAGTCTTATAATATGAAACGGAGGTAGTACGCATTTTGCATGTATTGGACAAAATTGCTCTCATCTTCTGTCCACTCTATCTCTTATCTCATCTTTCCCTTTCTCTATCCCGTCAATGCCGGTGACACATCCTTGCTGCTCTTCGACTGGGTCGACCCGTCCGCCTCCACGCACCACCGCAGGAGCTCGAGACGGCGGAGAGCACCGAGCAAGTCCACCCACACTTCTTCACCCACGGCCTCTCTCCCCTCGGTCCTCACTGCTTCGGCATTGTCATCGTCGTCATCGTCGCCCAGGACTCCTCACGACGAGGAGAGGCCACCGGATATGGGCCAAAGAGGAAAGGTGACTGGATCTAGGCTGAAGAGGAGAGTCAACCAGATATGGGACTCGTTGTTGCCGTCTCCATCATGCGCCACCGCCCAAGCCTCCTTCCCCGACTCCGCCTTCTCGGGCAAAGAATGCCAAGGAGGGAGGAGGCGGCGACGGTGGCGGTCATGTCCATCATCAGCCACGCTTGCGGTCGCCACCATCTCGCCATCACCGCTCTCTCAGGTTGTGGAAGAGAGAAAAAGGAAAAAGGGGGAGAAGAAGAGAGAAAAAGAATAATTTGGTCCATTTTTTTTAAAAAAAAATGCATCCAAGAGGTAAACAGTGGCATATCTCAAATATGTGTAAAATTATAATGGCGCGGTTCTAAATACTTTAATAGTAGTAGTGTATTTCAAAATCAACATATTTTGTGACATGAATCCAATTAACCAAAAAAGAATTTGAGTAAGAAAATGCATACCTACCTAAATGCAACCATGCAAAAGTATTAATTTTAAAAAAAGAGTGGAAACTGCAAACATAATTTCTGATGTGTTATGACTTATGAGGCCTTTCTTTAATGGTAGAATGGCCGAATTGCTGAATAACTTTGTTAAAAGAATACATTAAATATTAGTATATAAAGTTAATAATGAATTTAAAATAATCTTTTTTTAAAGTTCATAACAAGTTTCAGCAATGCACTGTTTTACATTTTGAGATATGTACAGTACATTTTTGTATAATAACAATTTTTTTTAAAAGTAGTTCTTCTGTTTCATATTATAATAAGTAATTTGACTTTTTCCTTAATCAAACTTCTTTAAGTTTGACCAAATTTTATAAAAAATAGTAGTATTGTCAATACAAAACAAATATATTATCAAAATATATACATTATTAAATTTAATAAAACTAATTTAATATGTTGTTAATTTTTTTTATAAATTTGGTCAAATATAAAAAAAAATTGATTAAGAAAATGGTAAAACGAGAAACGGAGGGAGGGAGTACTGTTCGATGGTTTCTTCCATTCTTGCTACAGAAAAATAAGTTCTTGCCGGCCCAACTCAACACCCGCTGCTCGATCCCGATCAGCCACGCTTCCTCTTCCGCCGCCGCCGCCGAAGAGGGGGACTCGATAGACCATGACGACACCCGGATCCTGCCCCTCGTCCACATCCGCCGCCCACTCTCCCGTCTGCCTCGCCCCCTCCGCCGCCGCAGGCACGTAGCTAAGCTGCTATACAAAGCCCGCCTCTCTGTCACCCACTCACTGATCTCCTCCTCCTTTTTTTTTTTGGCGCAGGGGAATCCCAAGAGATGGTGCGGCCGCGCATGGTGCTGTTCGGCGACTCCATCACGGAGCAGTCCTTCCGCCCCGGCGGCTGGGGCGCCGCCCTCGCCGACACCTACTCCCGCAAGGTGGAGTAGTACATGATATGTTTCCTCTCTTTAGTTTTTTTTTTTGGGGTGCATTTGCAAATTTGCAATCGGTTTTTTCAATTTTGCAAGGATACCACTCGAATGACAGTTCTAGTAGTATTTTTGCAATTTTCTAGTGGCAGTTTTGCAATAATAATTTAAAGCAGTGGTAAATTTGCAATTGTCTTTTTTTTTTTTTTGATTTGATCTTCTTTGTATGGAACGATAATATGCGCAGAGAACTGGGAATGTTTCGATCCCATTGTTTGATTTCTAAGGAATTGGGCCACTGACCAGTTTGAGATAGCTGAAAAATTGATCGATTGATGGATAATCTTATTTTTGTGATAGGTGTTTGAGGGTAGAAAGGAATGAATTATGAACTATGAAGTTGGAAAGTTGCTTTAGAAAAGTATTCCGAGAAAAATGCATATAGAACATTTTTTTTGCACGAAACGCAATGTTTAGGACCTTGGAAGCGTGCGAATGGAAATCTGAAATCCAGAATCAGAAAAGTTGCTTTAGGAAAGTATTCCAATAAATTATCCAGATTTTCGGATGCTTGGGAACATTTCTGCTTTGCTTAATCCTTCCAATCTCACATTTCTTTGTCAGTTCTATGACATTGTAGAAATGACTGACTTCTTTCTCCTCCTTGTATCATATGACATTGTAGAAATGACTAACTTCTTTCTCCTCCTTGTATCAGGCTGATGTAGTTGTTAGAGGCTACGGAGGGTACAACACAAGATGGGCTCTATTCTTGCTACATCAAATCTTTCCCCTGGTAAGGCAGTTAGTCATCTAGCTCCGGTGCTACCAATGGTATGTCCAAATACTCAGAGATTATTGCACCCATGCCCTGCTCTGCTCAGGTTGGAATAGTGCCTCCTCTTGCGACAACTGTATTCTTCGGTGCAAATGATGCAGCCCTTTTGGGACGAACAGGCGAGCGACAGCATGTTCCCGTTGCAGAGTATAAAGAAAATCTCAAAAAGATTGTTAATCATTTGAAGGCAAGTTCTTTTCATTGGTGCTCCTGCTCTTGATTACTTCAGTTTCCTGTGGTGTTTGTTTTCATCTGCTGGCAATGTTTTTCAATGTACAGAATGTAAATGTTAAATTCTGATGATCTGGAACTTACAATGCTGTAAGAAATTGGTATGCAAGTAAAAGTTTTGCTATCTTGATGATAGCCATGATGCCTTGTTCATGAGAAGTGAGATCACTAGTTTTATGTTGTCGAACAAATACATGTGTCTGGGTAGATTAGATAGCTTACTTCTGTTTGCAAAACAATGAGGATGAATTGGATTCTCAAGGTTCTTCTCCTCATGATGAGCTCTGAGAAAACAATTATGCTTTATCCCTGATGTGTCTTTTCCATAGATACATTGGCACTTCTATATTACCGTAGTGCTATAGCAAATTTGCCTTTCATTTGAAAGACCTGTTTTTTATTCATGAGTAATAACATTTATTTGTCAAGGACAAAGAAGGAAGAAAAGAGGATAAAGTGCTTACAAGTTCTAAGATGACTTACATTTAGGTCACAATTGAGAAGCCTCAAGCGACTTATCTTTTGAATTGGAGGTAGTAGTACATATTTTGTAAATGGCTAGCAAAGCTGAAGACATGGAACTTTTTGAATTTGGGTAGTAGTTTAAAAATGTAGCAAGGGGCTTACAAGCCAGAATTAACATTTATTCCTAAATAAGAATGTTTATGCTAGAAACATCAAGTGTAAGACTTACAACTTGTGATGTCCATTTGTTAAATTAGAATGTTTGGTTACAGTTTTCCATGTAGAAACAGGGCGAACTTTATATTTTGAAGCTTGAATTCAGGCAGTAAATAGTTTCACGTTAGTTAGAATCCTTTTCTGCTTATCAGATACTGCCTTTGCATATGAATCTCAGGATTGCCTACTTATGGTCATACATGGTTTGATCCCCAATTGTGAACGCTAGACAGGAAAAATATAATCAGCAATTACACATATCTCACTATTCATATAAAAAAGTTCCACCTAATAGTTTACCGTTTTAACTTGCTGACTTTTTGATAGTAGCCGCTAACACTATAGCTGTGTGAGCTTGGTTTCCAAGTCGTTATATAGTATATGTAAGGCCACTGTGAAGAACATTATCTAAATTAGGTTTGAATTCTGAGAGTAAAGTACTCTTAATGGTCAAATGAAAATTTACAATCATGGTTATATGTCTGAACTACCACATTTAAAAATGATTTTCTCAAAACTTTTATGCTAACCTCCTTGCAGGATTGTTCCAAGTCCATGTTAATTGTACTAATCACTCCGCCTCCTATTGATGAAGATGGAAGGGAAAGATTTGCACGGTTGACTTCATGCTCTTGGGGGCCTGTTTTTTCAAATGAATGATATTTTTTCCTTGACCCAAAAAAGAGATGCTTGTGTCTAAGATCCAGAAATATATCCCTGTTTTTACTCTATTGCTAATAATGTGACCGCAAGATCCATATTTTGCTTGACATTGTCCTGTACCTTCTTATTCAGAACTTTTTAGCAGTTCCTTAGCTGACAGTTACGTTTCAATCTGTTGGGAGTCTGGTCTGGAGTTACAACAACAACAAAACTTTTAATTATAACTTATGCGTCCATAAGTCCATTCTAGCTCTATGTATTTTATATATGTGTTACATTGGCTCTCTATTAATTGTTGCTATTTCCACCCAAGATCACTCTATGGAGAAGAAGCTAGGAAGCTCCCTGAAAGGACAAACGAAATGGCTGGTGTGTATGCAAGTCAGTGCATAGAGCTAGCCAGAGAAATGAATATACACTGCATTGATATTTGGTCAAAGATGCAAGAGACCGCAGGATGGCAGAAACTTTACTTGAGGTATTGTTTCATGTTCAGCTTTTTTTTTTCCTTTTTGTCATGCATAGCATCGATTGAGGTGAGTTGCCTATATTTGGACAGTAGGATTTGCTTTTACTAGCATATTTGACCATAGGTTGCTCACTTCTCGAATAAACATGACATACGTTCTGGCCTTAAATATATACAGAAAATAATTAACCGCAAATTCAATAAAAATGCATGCCTTATTTGCATTAGAAGTAATGTAAGAGTTACTCCATCTTTGAGTTGTGCTTTTGCGTTGGTTTTGCCCCCACTCTTTTTAGTTATTCCTGCTGTTGTGTTCGCTTCTTTTTGAGGTACTCTTGTTTGAGTGTGGTGTTTTGTTTGCTTCTTTTTGAGATATTTTTGTGTCTGAGTGTGATGCAATGAAGTTCATAGGAATTTCAGCACTCTTGTTCAGATAGAATCACCAGCTCCTAGCAGCAAAGTCCATCTCATTGGAAAATAGTCTTTTTATTCTCATTGCAAAGGAACATTTTCGTTTATGTGCTTCTAGTTCTTGGTTTTTGGTTTGTCTCTTATGCATGACTAAGATGCTATAAGGTGGATGGCGTCATGTTGAGCCTAGTTGCCCGGTTGATCCACTAGCTCACAAAATCAGTTTTTTTTTGCTATATATAGTAGTTAAGAACAAGTATAAGATCCTAGCCCATGATATGGATGAATGATTCTTGAGCCGGTCTTACTTGGGTCAAGCCATTATCTATTTGATGGTTATGATATTCTTCACTGGCTCAGTTGTTGGTTTGTTTTCTGCTAACAGTATTAGAGACATATGTTTTCTAAAATAATCACAATGCTCTTTCTTGGCCTTCCTAATGTAGAACCCTACCAAATGACCCGTGTACCACTGTGCTCCAGCTACATCGGTTAATCACTGTGGTGTTTTTTACCAAGGATAACTTGAGACCCTCTTTTTTTTGCACATCTAGCTTAATTTAAAGAGTCATTTGTGATGTCTCTGTTACTCTGAGTAAGCCATTATAACATGACTTCATAGCATAGTATATTAATGTGCATTTTCAATAGGATTTAGTATAATCTGGTTTCCTTAGACTGTAAATCTGAGGCTGTGGGCTTCCCCCTTCATTTATTGTCAGATTTGATCATTCAGTCATTGTTATGCACATAGTTTAATAGTCTGATGGCTTAAGTGTCTTCATATATTTCGAGTTTGGATAAGCATAGAAACTAACCCTGCAAGCTATTCTTTTATTGTATTTGGGAATATGCATTAAGGCAATTTTATTTTATCTTTACAATGAAAATACTTCTAAGAAACAATTTGGAAACCCTATTTATAAAAACAGAAGCTTCTATAAACCAAGCCATTATTTTACTAGTTATGTTTTAGGAAGTGGATAACCTGCTAATTATTGGAACTATTTGTTCTTCTCCTAGCGATGGACTGCACCTGACGCCAGAAGGAAATGCTGTTGTCCACAAGGAAGTTGTCCAAACGTTGAGAAGTGTGGGTCTGAAAGCAGAAGAAATGCCATATGATTTCCCTCACCATTCCAGAATTGATGGTAGTTGCCCAGAAAAAGCCTTCCAGTGAAGTGTGATGCCTTGAATAGCTTGTGGTGCGGTTCATCTGGAGATCTCTTTTCCTCTTTGAATTAGGAGAAAGATCAAATTAAAGACAATGTTTTACTGCTTCTATCATGAGCTTTTGGAGTGAGGAATTTAGCACCCATTTTTACTCTGGAAGAAATAAAGTTCTCTTCTTGAAACTGAGAAATTGATAGTGGTAGGAGATAGTAGTCCGTGGCCTGTAACCGTTCAGATTTCTACATGGGCACACGACCATACTGGGAATCAGAAAATTAGACCCCGTGGATTATCTGGATTCTGGATGGTTTCCAAGTTGTTTTGCCTGCTCCTGTGTGAAAATCCAGGCGTTTAGTGCTAATATGTTAGGCTTAAAGTATTTTTGATGATAAAAGCAAGTCATAATGTTTATTTTACACGAACAGTTAAATGCTATTTTTAAAAGTAAACATGACCATATATTTAAAAACGGATGTACTCCCTCCGTTACTACTAGATGTGTCACATCCGGTCACATCCGGTAGTAGATTTGTACTAGATTCGTTTTCGTTTTGTTTTTTATATGATGGAAGGAGTATTCATTAATAAGAAACCTATTCAGCCTTTTACCAAAGTTGCAGCTTACACGGGCCGGAAAATAAATTGATAGTGTGTCCTAGTGTCCTACCTCGTTTGAGTCCATTGTTGTGACTTGTAAATGTACGTGCCTATGCGGCATTTTCTTTTTCTTTTTTTTAAGATAGTGGAAATTTTACTGAACACAGCTGCTAATTACATTTAAGTGATTTTCTATTTTTTTAAGATAGTGGAAATTTTACTGAACACAGCTGCTAATTACATTTGAAGTGATGCAAACGTACTAAGACACTCCGGGCTTAGATTTTCTATACAATTATTATTGTTGTATTCCAGGATTAATATTGGAAAAAAATATTAGTCTTGGAATAGCCTATATAGGCTATACCTAATAAAGATGAACTTACTCCTACTTTAGAGAATGTTCGAGAGAAGATGATCATATAAGATTAAGAAGATAAATAAAATGAGATGAACTATAAAATAATTTTTGTATATATATATATTTTAAAAAGATATCGTTTAGTAGTTCAGGAAATATACGTGCCGAGAAAAAGGATTTTCCCTCTCAATCCACCGGTTACGAACAAAGGATTTTTTTTTTCTTTTTTAACCTAGCTCTATTGAATTGGAGCTTTTAAATCCAGCAGATTGGTGCCATAGTTGACGCCATTTTTCTGTAAGTGTAATGGATACCGAGGATGATTAACTGATATTATAGTATGAGATAACATTTCGATTATAAAACATTTCGCACGACGGCCTATTAGCTCAGCTGGTTAGAGCGTCGTGCTAATAACGCGAAGGTCGCAGGTTCGAGACCTGCATGGGCCATTTTTTTTTTAAAAAAAGAAATATTTTCAAGTGTCTTTTTTTTTCTTTTTTGCCTTTCAACCGTGCCACATAAACATTTAATCATCATCATTCAATTCAAACACACATATGCAACCAACAGCTTCACTTATATATATAAATAAATAAATAGAGAGATTACGAATTCAAGAATCAAGCTGCACCTAAACACATTAGGGGAACTCTACCGCTAATCCAGAATATGCTAATCTATCCTGCTTAACGACGATGTCGTAATGTGGTTACAAGGGCCATAATGCCATGCGAAGTGACATCCACAATGCCTCTTCCATTGAGATTTAATTTGTTTGTCGCAGTAGCGTAAGTAGTACTTCCTCCGTTTCATATTATAAGACTTTTTAGCATTGCCCATATTTATATATATGTTAATGAATATATATATATATATATATGTGTGCGCGCGCGCGCGCCTAGATTCATTAACATCTATATGAATGTGGGCAATGCTAGAAAGTTTTATAAACTGAAACGGAGGTAGTAGATTATAAGATAGGGTCACATTTCATTAGCAACAATGGGGTACAGTCTTGGTTAACCGGCTCACCCACTCGTCAGGATGCCTGCACAGCAAGAGACACATGGTTAGGCATCACGTGAACTTTGCACAAAGCATGCACCTCTTTTTCGAAGGAAGACAGTGAGAAGAAGGAAAAAAAAACACACACATTATCAGCAGTTTACATAGTAGAAATTTTTTAACTTGAAGTTCCACCAGCCTTTTTAATGTTTCGAGAATGCATCTCATATGCACTCTAGCTAAACTTTGAGATGATAATACTTTTATGACTATGGGGTGACGTTCACAGATAACTCAAATCATAATTACAAATGGAGCCATATATGGAAATAATCACATCCGTGGATGTATACAGGTACAGTGATAATTGTAATTTGCATGGTGATGAATTGAAACTTGGAAAAGGAGGTACACAAAGCAGGTACCTCCTTTTCCAAGGAAGACAGTGAGAAGAAAAAACACTATACACGTTATCAACAATTTACATAGTAGCATAATTTTTTAACTTGAAGTTTTACCAGCCCTTTTAATGTTTCGAGAACGTATCTCATCTACTCTAGCTAAGCTTTAAGACTATGGGGTGACGTTCAGAGGTAACTCAAACACAATCACATCCTTGGATGTATACAGGTGATAATTGCAATTTGCAGACTTAATAACAGTTGCAGTTTAGTAACATGCTGAACTCAAGATAGTTCAAAAGCATGTATCCTATATTTGAAGTAAACACTGCTTTGTCCCTGTGACTGTGAAAACACATACAGGTATAGTTCCCAATGCCCCAACAGTGAAAACAAAAGGAAGACGTGCACACTGAGTACATAAAATTGATGAAAATTTTGATTAAAGAAAGATTTGAAATTTAGACAATGTTTTAACAGGCGAACTGAACACATAAAAAGCAGTAACAATCTTATTTTAGGACTGCAAAACAGTCAATAGAATAGAAAAAGGTAGGGTCATATTGTACCTCTTCCAGGACACTATCTACAACTTCCAGAATTTATCTGCTGATTAGCTGAGAAGCTGCATGTTTCATGCTACTAAATAACAATCTTATACTCCAGCTACTAGCTGCTTAAAATAACTTCAGCATCTTCTTTAAGGATCTCACACTCAACTAACTTCTGGTGGAGCATCTGTGCCTCTTTATTCCAGCCTGATTTGGCAACTTTTGTGACTATGGATGAACACAATGAATTCCCGGGGATACTATTTTTTGATAACATTACTTTAGTTATTTCAGCAGCAGCTTCCACTTTACCATCTCTACATAATGCCTGGATCACCATGACAAAGGTAGTTGTTTTAACTTCAAAGCCTAGAGTGAGCATCTGATTTAAAAGGTCCAGGGCCTCATCAGCCATGTCTTTCTTACAAAAACCCATGACAAGTGAACCATATGTGATGTCATCGGGGCTGATCCCGTCACTAAGCATCTCATCAAACAGAACCATAGCTTTCTTAACTTCAGCCTTCTTTGCTAAAGCATCTATGAGGGTATTGTATGTGATGAGAACCAACTTGTATCCGTTTTCTCTGATGCAGCGAGCAATCCCAAGAGCTTCCTCAACCATACCCTTTTTGGAGATGGCATTCAGGAGTGTGTTGCAGGTCACAATATCAGGAGAACAATTGTTGATAACCATCCTCTCCAACACATCAATTGCCTGATCCAGATGCCCATACTTACAAAAGTAATTGATAAAAATATTGTAGGTTGTAACATCAGGATCACGATTCACCTGGTTCATGTCTTCAAGCAAATCGCATACTTCATCCCACCTTCTCATGTTGCAGAGGGCATGGAGTAAGATGCAGTAGGTTGTACCATTTGGTTCAAGCCCTTCAGCAGCAAGACGAGTTAAGATGAACTTTGCATCATTCAGCCTGCCAGCCTTGCATGATGCACTGATGAGAGCATTATAGGTGACGACATCTGGTTGACATCCTTCCAAAGAAAGTTCATCCAAGACTTCCAAGGCCTTCTGAGGGCCACAATTCTTGCAAACAAGATCAACAAGCAAGGTGCTTGTCATCTCATATGGTGGCCAACCTAACCTCAACTGTTCTTTCCAAAAGGAGATCGCCCTGTCATACATACGCTGATTGAACATGCACCTAATCAAAGTGTTAAAAGTGATGCCGCTCGGAGAGCAACCACTGAATCTCATGTCTTCCAGAACCTGCAGTGCTGAGCTCAGCTGCCCACCACGGCAAAGCTGCGCGATCAACATGTTGCAGCTGATGGTGTCCGGAACCCCACCCGAAAGCACCATAACCTCAAGAACATGCCTAGCTTTGTTTGCCTTGCCGGTTTTAACGAGCCCGCGGATTATCCTAACGCAGCACTTAGTCTCCGGAATCTGGCCATGGAGCACCATCTCATCAATCACACAGCAGGCCTGGATGAGCTTCCCGCTGTTACAGTACCTGCGAAGGTTGTCAGCATAGCACTTTCCTCCATGTTTTGAGAAACCTGCCACATCCATTCCCTCGGGGTTCTGGTCCAATGGCTTCCTCGGCTTAGCATGGATGGGTGATACATCCTTCTCAGAATCTGCGGCCGCCCTCCCAAAATCATCCTGCGGCCGTCGGTCTCGGTCTGGCTGCACAACTACAAGACTACCACCACCACCCTCACCCTTGAAGAAATCATCCCTAGGCCGTCGTCGGTCAGGCCGCATCACCACCAAATTACCCCCATTCTTCTGCTCGGTTCTGGTAGGATAATCCAGATACACGGCGTGCGCTGTAACCCGCGAAGACCGCATCGTAATCGAGGCGCTTACGGTGATCGGCGCAGAGCCATTCGACCACAGGCCACACCGGTGGCAGCGGCTGACGTCACCCGAACGCGCCATGTTCATCGAACCACCACCACCACCACCATTGACAGCACAATCTAACCACCCCCACTGCAGAAATTCCCCGCAGATAAAAAAAATCGCCTCACCTTCCTCCAAATTGCAGAGCCCTAAATTCCCAAATTCCCAACAACCCCGGTTCTTGACAGGATTCCACCACCACCCCCTGCACAGATCAGAGGGTGCAGCATCAGCAAGAAGACGAAGCTAGCCGCTAGCAGAGATGGAGAGAGAGGGTGTACCTGCGGAATGGAGGAGGACGCGGCCCTCTCCGCCACCGCTTCTCCCCCTAGCGGCGGCGAGGCGCGGCGAGGCGGAGGCTAGAGAGAGAGAGAGAGAGGGAGAGGGAGAGAGAGTGGAAGGGAGAGCGGCCACCCGCTCGCCAATAATATCGCCGGCGCCGCCGCTGGGCCGCCACCCCTCGCCGGAGATGGGCCTTTCTGGGCCGGGCTTAAGTGGGCCGTCATGAGTAGGCGGGCCGCATTTTAGGTGGGCCTCGTGGGGGCCGTGCGGCAGACGGGGAGGAGTTCTCTTTCCCGGCTTTTGAGTTGAGACGCACTCCAGCCTTTTCTTTTCTTTTGTTTTTCTTTTGTTTTTTTGTTGGGTTTTCTTCTGGCTCGACTTTTGTCCCTGGTAACATGGAAAGGTTGGGGCTTTGCTTTTCGCTTTTTTCATCTTTTTCCTGCCGTGTGTGTGCAAGTGCAACGACAGTTTTGAGAGAGTTTTTCTTCTTTTTTTTTGTGAGGAATTTTGGAGTATGGACTAATGGACATGCAATTCAATGCACGATGTTTCTTTTTTCACTTTTGAGGGAGTGAACAGGAGGCGAGTCAGATTTCGATGGAAAGTTCAAAATGACAGTTTGTTTTTCTTTTTACTGTGAAAGGAGAACAAAGCACAGTAACAATGGCACTACAAGCCAAACGACTAGGGTTTGTTTTAGCAGGTTGTTATTTGAGAGCCAAACTTTTTTTTTCATTGAGTTTGGTATAATTTGTATGGTATTTGTTTTCTCTCTCTTCTTGGTGTAGCCGCGACTGTGTTATCAATTGAAATCAAAGACATTATTATGGTAAGTGGTGAAATCGCCCGATTCACCTCTCCCTATTTTTCTTTCTTTTTTGCCATAAGACCATATATCAACTTCTAGCTTCCTACACAACCAGACAAACAATACAACTATTTTTCGCAAGTATGAGGGTGTTCTAGCCATTTTAAAAAATAATAACAACGTTACAAAATGACAATAATGAAATATCGTAAAATATACTATAAAATTGTTGTATAAAAAGGAAGATCACATCTTTTTATTTGTTAAATGTTTCTCAAAATTTTACATGTGGATGTAAATATCCAACAGTTTAGTATTTTCTTCGTCCATTAACATTTGCCATTATCGTACTGACTTTCGTACGAAGAGAGTATTTCACGATTAATAACTCCAATCCATATGAGATTCATGTAACTTATTTCCACCTTAAATAACAGATATTTTAATCCAAACAGTTATGATATAGTTATAATGTAAATGCACGCCGTAAATATAGCCTAAAGTTCTATATACAACAGACTACACTATTTCACGCCAATCATTAATATATACCGTTGGGAGCACTAAGTTTAAAATCCAAATGAATACCTGAGGAGCACTCCATCGGTCCCAAAATAAATTAACATATATTTCAAATATGACATAATATAATAGATCTGGATAGATCTATTATAATCATTGGTTTATTTTTAGGATGGATGGAGTATAAAAACAAAACTCATTTTATCTAAAATTCAATCGTTTAATCATTGTGGAAAAAAAAAAAGGAAAATAAATAAATCAGAAGGCAGAGAGCCAGCGAGGCAGCAACGTCGGCTCTCCATCGCCTCACCATTTTCACCTCCGCCCCCCAAAAAAACGGACGCAAACCCATCCATCGCCGCCGCCGCCGCCACCTCGCTCCCATCGCTGCCTCCTCCTCTGCTTCGTCGCCGCGGCGGCATCTCGCCGGCGGCGATCGGCGTGACCCCGAGCGCCCGCAACACGCCAGGCGCGATCGGAAGCGGAAGCGCCCCCCTCCGCCGCCGCCGCCGCAGCCACCATGCAGGGGTTCCCCGGCGGCGCCCCCGATCCGCAGCAGCTGCAGTCCACCATGCTGGCCATCGAGCAGGCCTGCTCCCTCATCCAGGTCGACCCCCCCCTCCACCCCATCCCCACGCTCTCCTCCCCCGCGCCCCGCTCTCGGCGTCGTCTCGCTCAATTCCCTTCCGCGGCGGCTAGTGCTTGTGCTTGTGCTTCTCGGGGGGGGGGGGGGGGGGTGGCGGCGCGGCGGAGTAGATTTGGTTGGTGCGCGCGTGGGCTTCTGCTCGTCCTGGTCTCGCTGTTACGGCTTTTTGGTGGCGCCATTCTATCCCCCCACCTTAATCATCGCACGTGGGCATGGTTTACTGTTCGTCTCGTGCGGCTACTGATCGGTGTGCATCTGTGTGGATTTGGTGAACGGGGATTCTGGTTGAGGTTTTAGCGAGGGATTTGGTGTTTATCGGGCTTTGTAACTTTGGATTGGTTGCTTAGGGTGATTTGGGTCAGTGAACTGGATGCTTAGCAGTGAGATTATGGCACTCCATTGAGCTTTACAGGGGCAAATCTCAACTTGCTGTTCATATTAAACTGTTTCAGGTTCTCATTTAGATTCATCTCAGTCTATCATTGATGTGTTGGGTTGAGAACTTTAGAATTTGCGTATATTGATTCAGCTGGTTTCACTTGCAATGATCTGTTATCTAATTCATATCTGATCAGTTCAATTGGTTGACGAGTTAGATTATTTTTTTGTATTCTAATAGAAATGCACTCTCTCTAGACTCTACTGACCCGAACTGTTGGTTCGGTTAGTATTTACTATTCTATAGAATTGTGTGCACCTTGGCCATGCTTTCTATTGCCGCTGGTCTCGGATCTACTTATTTTCCTTTTTCTTTAAGAGGTATTGTTTCCGTAGGCGCAAGAATGTGTTGTTTATTCCATGTTACTGACTAAATTATCTGAATCATGTCAAAATTGGTGGAAAGGGGGTGTTCTTGGTCCATTCCATATTTAGCTTAGTGTTGCACATGGACATACTTTAGTTATTGTTTCTTCATCCATTGACTGTAAAAACCACTTAGCAGCTAAGCATTGGATATTTGGATGATTTTGCAGATGCACATGAGTCCAGCTGATGCGGAAAAAGTTATAAGTTCACTGCATTCATCTCCAATGCCTTATCAAGCATGCAGATTTATTCTTGGTATGCTGTTACATAGCTGAAATGGATTCTCAATGGGGCCTTAACATATTCTCAATTTTGATGTAGAGTGCTGAGTATCGAGTAGGATTTAGGATGGCTGATTACGTAACCTTTTTATGGTGTAGTAATCTACCTTTTCTTTTTTTCCTCATCTTTTATGTATATATGTTCCTTTCAGACTGCAAATATTTGTTACCTCACACACACCTTTTTTTGGGGGGGTGGGGGGAGGGTGGGTAAGTTCCGAAACACTTATTTGTTTGTTCAGTCAAGAACTTAACCTTCTGCATTATTTTCATTACTCCAAGTGCAAATTCCACAACCACATCCCCTTTTGTTTCTGAAGTTGTCAGCACCTACTTTGAGAAAATACCTTCTTTTTTTTTATAAACCGCTACAGTTCAGCGTTATGGATAATTTCTGATGGTTGTACCCTGTGATACCTTAGTAATGTATTTTTGATTCCACAACTATAAAGCCCAAACAAGTCACCAACCATGTAAGTTGTGTCTCACCATGTTGGTTATGAAAGATATTAGATGGTTCCTAGTGTCCTATCAATGTGGAAACCGGCTGGAATATAACTTTATTTACATGCAAACGCACATCCTTAGATGGATGTCGTCAGTAATCTATATTTCAATTCTCTATGTGAACTAACCAATCTGTTCATTTCTCATCCAAATCTTAAAGCCTTGCCTAGTTAGATTCATAGAGGCATAAAGATGCGCACACACTGTTCTGCTATGTCAGGTTTAATTTGAGAAGAGGTGATTTTTTAACATTTTGTTGTCTCCCAGAGACATCCCACATGCCAAATGCGAGATTCCAAGCTGCTGGAGCAATTGGTGATGCAGCAATAAGGGAGTGGGGAATCCTTTCAGATGACAACAAAAAAAGCCTAATAGTGTGAGTTTTTGCGGGAATTTCATACTTGTTTAATATGAATCGTAGCATTTCAACGCCCTTGGTATAATTATTCTAACATTGTAGATATTGCTTGAACTATGTTATGGAGCATGCAAGTTCCCCGGAAGGTTATGTGCAAGCAAAAGTTTCTGCCGTGGCAGCTAGACTACTCAAAAGAGGCTGGTTAGTTTATAATTTCTGCTTTCTTTGCCCATGTATCTTTTGCCTGTCACTCTATTTCTCCTCATAGCTTCTATTTACGTAACATGCATATTTTTTATTGGTGTTTCTTCAAGTTAATTTTGGTCATAGAGGTATAAGAACCACCAGTGCGTGGTTGAATATTCATCTGCATTTTTTCATTCATCGAATTATAGGGGTAAGGTGTTATTTTGTGCATGTTTTGGTATGCACACTAATGTACACAATCTTTCCTATAAATGTCTTGATGCATTAGGTAGCTGATGAGTTATGTACTTAACTTACCCAGCACTAGCTCATACAGGACAGATATTTAGTATGGACTCATTCCTTTTGGGTGGCTAGTTGCACAGAATCATCAAGTGTAATTATTGCACAGATGAAGGTGGAGGAATCTTTCTCCAATCCAACATCCCTAGTTTATAGTGGCATATATTCAAAATTATGAATAGCTATTTCTTAACGGTACAACCGTTTGCTTTTAAATGAATTATCTGCTTCTTAGTGTGCTTCAAGGCAACCAGTTGGTCTAATATTTTGGCTTCTGAAGGTTTGGTATTCAGAAATAAGCTTTGATATGGAATACATATTTACAGGGTTGAGTTTTCAGACCAAGAAAAAGCTGCCATCTTCTTTGAGGTACAGACTGCTCTGAAAGTTAGACGACTCCAGACTGATAAGTGATGCTTTCCTTCAGTTATTTAGTCCTTAAAATCTCTATCGGCCTATTTGGCAGAGATCAACTCCTGGATTCTTGCGAAATATGGAGTTTGTAGACTAAAATAAAATGGTTCAAAATGTGAACAAGATAGCTCACCCAAACAATCTCAGTTTACCCCCAACTCCAGCTCCAAGAATTTTTGGACTAGATATACCCAGAGCTCTGCTAAACATGCCCTTTTAACAGAGCTATAGCTTTCACCCTCTTATATCAGCAATGCTGGACAATATTTTGTCCTATATGAAACAATAATATATCCAAGCTCTTATAATAGTAGCTTTT